GACCTAGGGCCCAAAACATTGGAAAAAAAAAAAAGAAGTTTCTTCATGAATTATGACAAGTTGACAACTAGAATGAATTCCTAATTTACCAATGAAATTATATATGATGGTTTGTGTTTTATGCAAGATTTAAGTATGTACCTCTTGTATGTGTGCATGTGTTATGCGGCTTATGCCATCGTGCCACCCTAGGTGTATAATAGAATTTGCATAATACTCCCTCAAAAACAAATTGAATCTCCTTAATTAATGAAACTTAATAGGAAAATAAATTCACTTAAAAATTGGCTAAGTTGGTATTGTGTTGAGATTATTATTGTAAAGATTTAATGTCTGAATAGTAGGGTTCAAGCTTAACTCAATGAGTAAGTTAAAACTTTGAATACAATTTTGTCATCATTAGTTTATGAAAGGTTATAATATACGTGTAATAATAAGCACTCTGTTAGTCCGCTACTATTCATAATATAGTTACATCGTATTATATTAGTTGATCCAAGTCTGAATTATATACATCGTATTAATATTATTTGATCCAAGTCAAGTTGTGCGGAATTATTTAAGGGCTCATTCATTTGCTGTGAATTTTCAATACTATCCTTTTCCTTACCAACTTGTGTATTACATCATCCCTTTCCCAAAATAATATTTTAAAATATTTTTCATCATATCTATTGTATAAGGATTAAGGAGCAAAGAGGTACTTAATGGTCAAGTAACTAATTTATACTCCGTAAATTGAAAGAGGTCACTTGAGTTGGGTCATCTTTAACTTCAATTGAGTAAATTAGTAATTTTTAGGGGAGTAAAATTGTAATTTAACCCTTTTTTTATCATGTCCATTTTACAAGAAATATAATTAAATATTACAAGTGTTAGTGGATAATATATTTGAGAGGATTTCATTATATATATAAAAAAAAAAGTCCTAAAATAAAGGAGAATACAAGATATTTAAGACTTAAAATTAAATCTCATTTATGAACACAAAAAAAAAAGGTAAATGAGATCATCGTCAACTGAACTAGGTTAATTGATAGTTAACAAGATAGTCACTAAGAATCCTCAAGCTATAAATTCCCTTATCCATTAGGAAATACAACTATGTGGAATATTCATGAATTGAAATCTTCAATTTAATGTGTTCTATTCAATTAAAATAACTAAATTCATGAAATGGCCCAATCAAATTGGAACATCTTTATTTGTTAAACATTTTTTGTCAAGAAGATAGAGAAATGTATGATGTACTAATCCTTTGGGCAACTCCAAGCTAATTGACACAATATTGTACTAACTAAAGAATTGGTCCAAATGGTCCCAACCCACCATGATGTAATCCAACATTACATTTCATAATTACAAAATTATATTTTTTTAATTAGTTAGAAGGACAAACATGCATCTTACTTTCTCATATTAAAAGCAAATTAATGTTTCTAATTTAGTTTAAGAAAAGGGACATGACAAAATTTAAGTCAAATACAAAGAAAATTTCACACAATTTTTTTCAAATCAAACCTTAGAAAAAAGGTTTTTCAAGAATATAATTTGATAAATTTACATTATAAGTATATTATTACACGTACAACTCACAAAGAAAAACAAAGGCTTTCCTTCTTTTCTCTCTTAATCTATCCTTTCTTATTTGGATTTATTAGGCGAAAATGATAGTCCTCTCACTTTCATGAAGCCACTTGTTTATTCAGCGTCTCATTATTCTTTTTATTATTCCCCTTTTGAGTTCTTATCTGCTTAATTTGTAGTAAAGGCAAATGATGTTAGTATCCACTTGGTCACCTCCACCTTAGTTTGTCCGAATGAAACACTCAAAAACTTCTACTTTAAGTTGGAGAAACACGATTAAGCTAACAATTCAAGGATTAACTTCTTGTAACTTGTAACATTAAGCTTTATAGAAAGGAAAGTTGTAACTTGTAAGATAAGAAGCGGGAAATCGCAAGAAAAAACACGTTAATTTGATGGCAAGAAAAAAAATCTAACGAATTTGTGGGTTAATGAAGGGATACCTTCATCAATTCGCTTCTTCCCTTTGGCAATCAACGATCGTAGGACATTGTCTTCGATTTACTTCACTTGTTTCATCTGCATTTGAATACTTAATTGTTTTACAAAGATAAGTTCGTGAAAATAACTATTATTTGACCATATAAAAAGCCAAAAACAAAAGCAAATGCCAGTAAATTAAATTAACTTTACAAAATACGAATTATCAAAATAGGCCAAAACCTTGAGTAATGTGCATTATAATCCCATCATATATATCATACGCCATAAGTTCATTAGATATTTAGAGAACTCCACTCCATAAACAAGTACGAAGTATATACAATAATACATCACAACATCTACTACTATCAAGTAGCTCAACATGCATTGAATATTCAAGCATCAAAAGCTAAATGTTCCAAAAGGGTCCAAATAATAATGTCACCTAGCTCATCCAAATAGCATATAATTATAATAATTATATACTAAAACTACTAAAAAAAGCACCAACTCATCACAATGTTTGTCTCCTAGCTTAAACATTACTCATCCATAAGTTTAATTTGTTAAATCTAGTAATAATAACGACGGGTCATCTCACCAAGAAATGACATATATAAACTTGATCCAACATTTATATAATTTAGTGATATTTTGTAAATCCACGTCATTCTCGTAATATGGAAATAATGAACCAATTGATATTATAAAGATCTAGTGGATGGTAATTTATCTGGTGGACCAAATTTAATCTTAACATTCAGCCGTATCAATAGTTACAAAATTGAAAAATTAAGATTCTCGACAAACTATGCTATTGCCAGCAATGGAGGAAAGAATGTAGTATAAAGTTATACAGATTTTTAGTGTGCTCGATTTATGAATTTCCAAACGTGATGTACTTCGTATTTAATAGATTTGGTTTCAATGTACCTACCTGTATAAATAGACCTTTGCATTTACTCGTACGATTTAATAAGTTGATAGGGCTATGTATGCACGAGAATTTCGTGCTAAATATCAATCCTACTTAAATGTACAATGAGTTTATCAAGTTTTAGGTTGTAAAGCCAATTTGAGTCCGTTTAAATCAAGTGCGTTAAGTATAAATCAACTTTGTAAAGTTTGACCGATATTAAAAGTAAAGATTGTAACTTTAGATTGATGAAGTCTTACTCACTTGGCTTATCTTGATCAAAGTTTAATTCAAACATATATTAACTAGTTTAAAGATCTTGTTTTGAGGTAGGAATTTATTAAAGACGAGAAGATCTCAAAATGTCTATTTTATTAACTTATTGATCCTTATATATCATTTATATATTTATTTTCACTACAAACATATTTAAGCTAAACAAAATAAATTTTACAGATTAAATTTAAAAAACGACTTAGCTAAGCTAAGCTCGAGCTCGAACTCGAACTGTCTAGGGCTAGGCTTACAAGCTTACAAAACTATAAGCTTAGCTTAAAACCTTGGATCATTAATACTCGTTAATTGAAGTGGAAAGATACAAGTAGGTTGTGCATTTGGTCACTCCACAGTTTTGTGGAAGAAACGAAAATGTGTACCACCAAGCTACAAGTGATCCGCAAGAACAGGCAACGTGAGCAAATGTGATCGACTGGAAAAGCCTGTATCGCTTTCACGTTTCGCTTCTTCTGCGGCCGATTTTTTGATTCAATGAATTTCAATAACCAGGACCACCCACCACCTGTTAGCTTTTCAAAACTATTACCAAAAGAAACCACACTTGACAATTCCACAAAATGTTAATCAAGATGAAAATGACTTGTTACCTTGAGTACAAAACACTATGTCAAGTACAAGCAGAATATACAAAATGTAATTGTGCGTCAAGGTTACAACTTAAAATACCAAGACTGATGAAAACGGGGCCGCGGTAGGGAGAGCGTATCATCTAATCTCGAAATCGTGTAGGCTAAACCCATAACTGGTTCTAGGACACTTTCTCTTTCTCAGCTCGTGCCACTGCCTTGAAGAAAATTTGTCCAAAATTAATCTCAATTTAAACACGGCTACTTTCTGAGTTGGACGTGTCACAAAGATATATAAAACCCATTATACGGTAATTAGATAATGAGACATAAGATGTAACAGAGTGGAATAGAAGATCTCGAGTGCTAAAGGATAGTGTTTAACACAGTTGTGTCCTAGGTATCACTTAGAAAATCAATCTCTTATTCTCTTTTCAAATTATGTTAGCGACACACACGTTCACTAGCACACTTTTATTTGTAACAACTAGCAATAAAGCAGAGACATCAATTCACCTTTGGCCATAACAAGTAAAGAAAATGCACATACCAAAATCTTTCCCTTTTCACAATCTCGTCTTATGCACAGTAAATCGAAGTGACAATGGTGGTTAAAATGCGGGCGCTTTAGAGTAGACGAGGTAAATAGAGAATGGACCAACTGCTGCACTTTGAGAGGTTCAGAGACGAAGATATTTAGACGCTAAAATCTCATTCCTGTCTTTTTCATATGAAAACTCCCAATACCGTAACCATCCCATGGTGGGTCTGCTATCAACAAGCAAAAATACCTGCACCCATAATAGCCGTTGAACGTATTCAAAAAGCAAATACAGCTGCGACTCTGCGATTATGATAAACATAATTTAAAATAAAATTATACTACATCTGTTTCAGAATAATTGACAAAATAGATCAGTCATAAATAAAAATAACAAAAAGATGGTATTATACAAATATGTATTAATACTAATTTAATACTCGTAACATTTTACGTGATAATATTTGTGGGTTTTTTTATAGTAGTTGCAAGAAGATTATATAGATTTGTACATATATATGATATACTCCACAAATGAGTGAGAAAGCTTCCTACGATAACTGGCCCCATTGGCTTTAGATAAGCCATCATTAAAAACCTTCTATTAGCATGAAAGTGACAATAATATTACTTTTTTTACATGGCTGACTATATATCCCCAAACATGTCCTCTAATACAAGACTAAAACATATTCAATTCATGATCATAAGTACTTGGAGTCGAGAGTGGAGTTGTTTTCACTTATTAAAGAAAGATGATGATGCAAGGAAGAGAGCCATCCCCAGAAGCAACAGAAGCTGAAGCTGATATCGAGGTTGAGCCCTTGAGCGGTGAAGAAGAGCTACCAACTGCAAGGAAGAGGAGGAGTAGGAACAAGAGGAGGTTTAGCGACGAGCAAGTTAAGTCACTTGAAACTATATTTGAATCGGAAACTAAGCTTGAGCCAAGGAAGAAGGTGCAAGTGGCTCGAGAGTTGGGGCTGCAGCCTCGGCAGGTGGCTATATGGTTTCAAAACAAACGAGCTAGGTGGAAGTCGAAGCAAATTGAGAAGAACTACAGAGTACTCAAATCCAACTATGATAATCTAAAAGTTCGGCTAGAAGGCATCAAAAAAGAAAGAGAGTCCTTGCTAGAACAGGTATCTTTGCTTCTACTATCTAATTTTTCATGTATATTCTGCAGTAGAATATGCAGACTAACAGTTTACTTTTCAACAGTTGCAGGAACTACGTAGTCTTTTAGAAAGATCGCATCACAGGAAGAATGGATGCAAGGATTTTGAAGCCAACGACCAAGATATGAGCAAAGAAAATGGTGAAATTGTTGCAGGGATAACAGCAAGATCAAGCAGCTTACAGGAAGAAATGGACAACCAAGGGGCAATTTACTCAGACGATGATAAAAGTGGAAACATAGCGTATTTGGGGCAGGAGGAGCCTGAACTGCTGAAAGTAAGCGAGCACATCGATGGTTCCTTGATATCGCCGATGAAATGGTGCAGCTTTGATGCCGGGAGTCTCTTTGACCCGACAAGTACCACTTCCCACTGGTGGGATACCTGGACCTGATGCATCTATTTACAAGAAAATGGCAGTGTTTAGAAATTTGCTCTTTTGATAGGAGACGATAACAACGAAAGTTCAGATGGCATTCAACCAAGGCCTTGATTCTTAGAAGGTAACAAGGGATTACTCACCTATTGTAGCTTGGCGATGCCACTGACAATGACAAAAATAAGTGCAGTGTTTTGTTATTTATGTGATTGCATGATTGTGTGAGCATCTCTGTGTCTGACTGAGATGAGAGCTAGTTTGTAGAAAACATTTAGAATTCAGTATGTATAGATTGTAAATTAGTGAAATGTTTTTAGAGAATAATTCACAAATTTTAGCATGCATCTATAAGTTTCATATTTATTTGCAACAGTTTAAGATACAGAGATGATACTATACCTCAAAGTTCACAGAATTCTCAGTTTAATCCACAACATTCGAGTTTCTAATGCAAATAGAAGTTACTCATCACAGTCATCAGGAGCCTCAAGTACAGACGACTCAGAAAGTTAGCATAAAAGTGAACCACAAAGTAAGACATCTTAGATTCCTGATCAATCTACTAGGAAATTTATTTTATAAAAAGACAACATGATCACACAATTGCAAATAGGGAAAAAAAGTACTTTAATGAATATCATGAATATCTTCCTCTGTGGAGAGTACAAAATAAAATAACCTATAGACACTAAAGCGCACTTAATGTCTTTCTCTTTGAAATTTGTCAGAAAGTTTCCTCTAAACATTAACCTCGATTAGTATGGATATCAAGCAAATGAAGCAGAACAGAGGACTTTTAGTCAATGTATTCTATCTTCATGATCTTATCATGATTTGTATGTCATTCATTTCACATCTTCACAGTCCGCAAAGCATGGGTATGCCTATACCAGAAATTAATATCATTGATCAGATTAAGGCGGGAACTAGGATTCGAGCAAAAATGAATGAAGTGTGCTATATATGCATGCTGGCAGAGGACTAATACCTAAAAACTCAGCCAGTAAAACTACTCATGAATGTATGAATAGTAGTATGCAAGATACCGCGAAACACCAAGATCGTGCCTCCATATAGTAACACAGGAAGGCATATTCCAAAAAGCAGTATCATGTTGCAGCATTTTTTTAGTGCAAGCAGTACAGTTGATATAAAAAGCTAAATAAACACCAACTAGCAGGATCAAGCAATTTTCTATATCTATAACTTCAACTTGCAATAGTCTACTCTAGAATTCCAATTTGTTAATGTGACCTTTCTATACATAGACACATAGTCTGAAAGATGATCAACTTTAGGTTCCTTAGTCAATATAATATAAACTATGTCAAATTTACACACTCAACTTCTGATATAAGAATTCTATAAGGTTATTTGTAGCTAAATCGGATCGATTGGAATATTAAGAAGTAATACAATCTCTAACAACGGAAAAACGGATTTTATGTCTAAGCAAAGATGAACTTCAGCTAGATGAATGACATACAACAATGCAGGAGGTAAATCAATAGTAGCACCAAGCTTAAAAAAAAATACTTGTATGAAAAACGGGCATAAAGATTTCTCATAACATTTCATAGGTAAATTTCTTTATAGATCTATCTATAATTCAGCATAATGAGATGATGCAGCTTAAATTAGCTCAATTTACCTATAATATGAACTCCAATTTTGTTACAGTACTAAATTATACCTATCTATGTTATGCATTTATGATTCAAAACTTAAAAGTTTCCAAATCATCTTAATAAGACAACACGTATTTAAATGGTCCGATAGATACTCAGGGTCCGACCCCCCGATTGTTTGAGTTATCACAATTGTTTTATCACAATTGTTTGACAACACGTATCTAAAATATTACATCTTACCACAATTTTTTGAGTTATCACCCGAAGTATACAATATAAGGAGATACACTACAACCATCTAAAATACCACCATAATTACAGATTTTTTTTCCCACCTCCACATTTTCAAAAAACCCCCCTCCAACCCCATCCCCCAATTGATAATTAAGTGCTGGAATTCATACACTTAGACAATAACACAACAATAGAACATTGAATTATATGAAGGAAAAAAAATCGCCAAAACTTACCTATACTAAATATAACTAAAATCAAGAAATTGATCAATATAAGGGACCCAAAAGCACTGACAAATTTTTAAATAGTAAACACACAATGGATTAGGTAATATGGGGTCCTTGAGAAATTAAAATCCAATACTCGACTAATTAAAGGGGCCAAAAAGCAATTAAGGGGTACAAACACAAATTAAAAAAAAGTGAAAGCTAAAAATAAACGTCATTAGAATCAAGCAAGTGGGCAATTAATTAAAGTTACAGTAAATTTAAGATTAAACAATTGACCAACATTATTATCAATATTAAAGCAAGATTAGGTTTGTAGTAGTAAGAAACAACAAACAAATTGTTAAAAATTAACAAAAGAAAAATAAATAACTTTCAAATTGATAATGTTGTGTTGGCAAGATGATAGTGACTGCAGTTTACAGTAATTTAAGATGATAATTTGCACCACAAAATTTGAGACAAAATACTTCATTTCATCTTCTCACTGTCGGTGGAATCTTTCAAAATTAGAAGCTCAATATTTATACAAAGTATTTATTAATATAGTTTGTGATTAATCATCAGACAGTTTGGCCGAGTGGTCTAAGGCGCCAGATTTAGGCTCTGGTCCGAAAGGGCGTGGGTTCAAATTCCACAGCTGTCATTTTTTTTCCCTTACCTTATCTTAATACTTAGATTGTAGTTGCAGTATTTTACCCTCTTATCCTCTACCCATATGATAATTAAGTATTTTCCATTTTATTTAAAGGGATGCCTGCGTCTGTCGCCGTGAGAGAAAATCCACATTATATGACCAAAAGAGGTTTCATCGTAAAATTATAAAGTGTTACTCTTTATATATATATATATATATATATATATATATATATATATATATATATATAAGACCTGATCAAGTATGGCCCAGTTTGAATTCTTTTTGGGGCAGGTTTAGGAATGCGTTTTTATGCATATTTAGTTGATTTTTTAGGCCCAGTCCGAAAATGGTCCGAAAAACCCGCACGGCCCAAAGCTTGGCCCTGACCGGCCCGAGAAGTGGGCATAATTTTTTAGCTTCAACCCGGCTCGATGTTATATATATATACATACATATTATCATTATGGAATATTTACATGTGTTGTTTGGATCACTTAATAAGACTATACATAATAAGACTAAAAAAAAATCCAAACCATAATCACTTAATGGATCACTATATAGCGTGACAAATTATATGTTTTAGTCTAATAAATAAACCGAATAATTAATTATTATAATTATATATAAATCACAAAATACGACCAAACATAAATGTGTGAATAGTATAAAAGTTAGACTAAATAATCAGTGGCGAATCTTGGCTAAAAATATTAGAGAGGCTGGGATTTAAATCTATTACCTCTCGCTCAAAATTAATCACTATGTTTTAACATTTTATAAGTAAAATAAGGTTATTTAAGTTCATTAACTAATTAATTACACAAATTTACCGAAGGTCGGGCCCCAAATGGTCCCGGTGGAAGATCCCATTCTGTAAATAACTAAATCAAATGTAAAAATAACAGAGGAAAAAGTATTATTATACTATCAAGGTTACATATAATTGTACTAAACCATTTGTTGGGCTTGATCCATTATAATGTTAGAGGCTAAAGTCAACCTGGCCAGTTGACTTGGGAGGCCCAAAACCTCTCTTCGACATGTTGAACGTTGAACCTCCTATAAACTATACTCAATAGTTTGGACTTTTTACCAAATTGAGCTTTGTTGGCAAATTATTTACCAAATTGGTCTCGTGGCAAAAGTATTTTCCAAACTAAGCTTCTGGGGTAAAATGCTGTCTCGGACAGCGTTTTATATCCAGATTTTTTTTTAAAAAAATCCAAGAAGTAAAACGCTGTCTCAGACAGCGTTTTACCTGTTTGACTTTTTTCTCAAACTTCGTATTTCATATTTTATATAAAAAAAAAGAACCCCAATAAACGCTGCCTCAGGCAGCGTTTATTGTACAGAATAAAACGCAGCCTGAGGCAGCGTTTTCCTCCGTACAATATTGCGGGACTTATATCGAATTGTAGCTGCGTTTAATTGGGAATAATACTTTTATTGTAAGTAAAACGCTGTCTCGGGCAGCGTTTTACTTTTTACATACACAAAATACGTGTATTCCAATATATTTTAGCAAAATACATACAAAAAAGTCAATTAACCATAAAACGCTGTCTGAGACAGAGTTTTATGTCTTGAATTTTTTTTTTTAAAAACTGGGTTTAAAACGCTGTCCGAGACAGCGTTTTACCCTAGAAGCTTAGTTTGGGGAATACTTTTGCCACGAGACCAATTTGGTAAATACTTTGCCAAAAAAGCTCAATTTGGTAAAAAGTCCCAATAGTTTACCCAAAACAACAAAAGCTGAAAAGAAATTTTTAGAGTGTACATTGCTGTTCTAAGTATTTTTCTGCTCACATACTTCAATGGCGATTCTCTAATTTTGACACAAAAAGAGCCATAAACTTTACCTCGTATGTTTACAGATGCGACGTAGAACGAAGAGTTAGGCGGGACCACTAGAGATGCTCCTATACTAAAGGCTATCGGAAAAGCAAGAAAGTCAGGGATGGTGCGGAAGCACGTAAGCATCCCGAGCAAGATACCGGCGGCGTAGACAACTATTTTTGAAGTGTATAGTACTCCAATGCCCTAGAGGAATGCTATTTTTGAAGAGTTAAAAGTTTTTATGAGAAACTCTATTTTTGAAGAAGGATAATAGGGTTGTATCTTTTGAGAATGAAGAAGAAAAAAGGATTCAAAACGCAAAATTTTAAGTGTGAATAAAAGTTAGCTAATTATCTCCAGATTTGCATGAGGTGTTAAAAGGTGCAGTAAAATTAAATGCCAACAATTAGCTAACTATAAGGGCTTTTTTTTCTTGCACAATTTTTTAATGAATACACAACAACAAAAATTACAATGTCCAAAAAAAGAAAATTGCACCGGCCTTTAAATTCAATAATTATAAACATAAAAACATGCAAAACAAAAAACTAAAGAGCATAAATGTCTTGTAGAGCATATCCGTGATACATATGAAAGAACTAGCTTGTTTTCTCTAAAAGACTAGCAGCTCTAAGTTTAATCATTGCTTTAATGTAATAGTGTTTGTTGTTTTGTATGTTTTTTATTACTCTAAATGTAACTCTTTCTTTTATATTAAACCTAACAAATACATTAAATATATTTCCGAAATTTTACTTATTTACTGTACAATTTAAGAAAACAAATGTTATAAATTAATTTTAGCTAACATTTTAGTAAAACTAAAGAAAATTGTAATGTACACTCTAATAAAATTTCATTTCAGCTTTTGCTGTTTTGGGTAATCTTATAGGTGATTCAACATGTCGAAGAGAGGTATTGGACCTCCCAAGTAAACTAGTCAGGTTAACGTTAGCCATCATTTCTTTTATTGCATTTGCTTTTCATTCGGATTTGAATTGTCATGATATGTTGATATATATTTCTTTTATTGCATTTGCTTTTAATTAGTATGTAAAGGGAGAAAAAGGTAGAAGCAATTATAGGCATATTGGGGCCAAATTGACTATTTGAACTAGTTTCAATCTATAAAAACTTAAAACTAAGTATGTTTGGTTACTTAATTAGAAGTGTTAGTGACATTATTTGCACGAAAATATGAATTACAGCCTTTACAGGCAAATCAAAGTAGAAGCCATATAGGCACTTTTTGAGCCATTTTGGATCATTTGATGTCAAAACTTCGTCAAATTGACTTTTTAAACTTGTTCAAGTTATAAAAACCTAAAACCAAGTATATGTATTTGGATAGGTAGAGTGAGCTAAAAATAATTGCCTCTAATTTTGATGAATTACCAAAAAGATTCAATGCTTGGATATTCAGATCAATGCATATTGAGCTACTTGATAGTAGTAGATATTATGGCGTATATTATTGTGAAGTATACTATATATTATTGCGAAGTATACTATATACTCCGTACTTGTTATGGAGTGGAGTACTCCAAAAATCTAATGAACTTATGGCATGTTGTGGGAATATAATGCACATTAGTCAAGGTTTCAGCTTTGCTTAGGAATTTAAGTACTAAATGTGTAAAACAAAAGCATTAAGCCAAATGAAGCATTACTAATGGTTCCACATAATTAAACATTAGGTTATAATGATAAAACATACACTAACACCATATCCTACTCCGAGTACTCCCTATGAAACTGAAGTGAGCTAAAAATGATTGCACGTAATATTGATGAATTACCAATTCCAAGGATTCAATGCGTGAATATTCTCTTCATTGCATGTTGAGCTACTTTATAGCAGTAGATATTATGATGTATTATTATTGTACCTGTTATGGATTGGGGTGCTCCATATATTTAATGAACTTGTGGCATGAAATGGGAATACAATGTACATTAGTCAAGATTTCAGCCTATTGTAGTAACTAGTTAGGTTAAGTTCCGTACAATGCACGGTTGTTAAACAATTATAACGAAAATAACTTTACAAAGAAAGGTATGGAGTATAAAATATAATAAATCAGCTTGCCAAGTATTAAAATATACAATATTAAAATAGTAAAAAAAAAAAATTGATTTTATTAGGCAATGTGATATTTTAGGAATTACTTTAGATTTTATATAAAGTGAATGTCATTAATTAAATACAAACCTTCATTATCTATCACAATGAAATTTTTTTAAGCAAGTAAATTTGGAGGGAATTTTTTTAATAATATTTTACTAAGTGTCATTTTTAGTTTTGCTTTTAGTAGTATGCAATAGATTCGTGATTTATAAAGTCAAACAACCAAAAAGATGATTGGTAGGATTCCTCTAGCTTAAAACTTAATCTTATGAGTCATATTAATTTTACCACATATCTTTGTAAAACAACTAATTATTACAATTAATAAATATTAATGGTAATATATACAAGCATAAGTTCATAATTTTATTTATTTTTTTTAACCAAATTAAATATGTATTACCTGCGTTACTACTATAACACTATCAAACTAGACATAAATGTCAATGCACTAGTTTGACCTTAGATACTCCGTATACATGGTTAAATATTAGTAAAAAAAATATATATAAAAGTTGATATTGTGAAACTTTATATTAATATTTATTTAACTATATATTTCATGATAATAGTTATTCCCTTCGTTTTATTTAAATGTTACACTTGGGTTTGCTTATTTGTCGAGGCACACTTTGACCATCACTATATTTGATTAGATCGATGATATTAGCAAAACTTATAATTTTTTTTATATTTTTTTTTATTTTATATAAAAGTAGATATTCTGAGAAGTCCAACAGCATATTATATGATTATATTTTTTTATACTCCCTCCGTTCTCATTTAATTGACACATTGAAATGGGCACGGAGTTTCAGAAATATATGAGCGGGGTATCATATTAAATTGTTTATTGTTTATAGAAAAGTGTCTATTGTAAAGTGAAATTAGTAACGTGTCAACTATTTCAGGAATAGCTGAAAAAGAGAATCGTGTCAATTATTTAGGAACGAATGAAGTATTACATGTCAATAGCGTAATATTAAAACAGACACAAAGAATGACACGTGTCACTTCTTGGTGTTTTTTTTCCCTTCATTTTTTTTTTCTATTTTTATTATCGACAACATCAACTACTTATTATAAAATATGTTGTAAATATTCACCAAATCATATAATTGTGATTTACTTCTTAAAAAATTATATATTTCCCAAATCATATTATTGTGATTCACATCCTAAAAAAATATTCACATAGTTTCCATATCTTTTATTGTATAAAATATTATTACATATCTTTCACTTTGTATATCATAGGATGTACATATTATTTCATATAATTAAATATGATAGTAATTCATATGTAGTATTTTATACATACCTTCAATTATTCAATACACAATATTTGTATGGAGTATATAGCAATTTTGTAACCAAATTATTTAAATGATGTATAATGAAATAATTGATTCATTCTAAAATAATTTTTTTAAGCACGCAACTAAAATATTGTTATTGTTATTAATACCTCCGCTTTCTTATGAAGAAAAAACGGTACGACACCGAATTAAAATTTTATAACACTCATTTGTCTAATTTACTCTTTCATTATATTTCATGTGTTCAATTCATTATATGCCTAAACTTGGAAGAAAATATATATTTTATGGTTATACTTTGTCCACAATATTTTTATAAAGATTTTCTTTATAGTTTACAAATGTAGTGTAGAATTTAAAATATTAGTGAAATTACCGTGCATGACACGGGACCTAACCTAGTTAGTAAAGATAATTAAGTCAAAGACTCAAATATAGCATAAGAATGGTGCAAAATCTCAAGTGTAACATTTTAAAAAAGAAGGGAATATGTTTTATAAGTTACCACAAATGGATAGTCAAAAGTATATGAATAAAGAAAAAAAGTCAAACGTATCAATTATTTAGTAAGGAAAAGATTAAGAAGGTCATACAATACATAGAAAAAAATTTAAGTGCTCTTGAATCCGATTTAGGGCCTGTTCAATTCACCTTATTTTTTACTTATTTGTAGTTTAATAAGTTCACTCATAAAAAATGAAAAATACTCCAACAAAAGTTAAAATTACAACTAAAATAAGTTTTAATAAAGGTGAATATAACAAACCCATAATAATTTCAATCCCAATTAAAGATGGCAATTGAATCCGACCCGATCCGAAGAAAAAATTCGATCTGAATCCGTTTAAAAATAGTTCGAATTCGAATCCGATAAAATAGATCTGAATCCCAGTAGAAGGCGAATCGGATCCTGGGCAAAGTCCGACTGAATCCGAGTCCGAGTATGAGGATATGCTTTATAATTTGGGACAATTGCTTACTTGATTGTAGCAAACTTTTGTTATGTAACTTAATTCATAATTTAAATATGTTATGTTTAGACATTGTACATTTGTACCCTATGTTTTTTCTAATTTTTTACGTATCAATATGATACAAGAAATAAAGTTTATTAGATACTACCTCCATTTTTTTAAAGTGTGTCATTTGGGATTTTGGCACTATTGATTAGATTTACTTTGACCAATGTTTGTGAATTATACAAAAGAAAAAATATAGTCTTGTAAGTATTTGTTGGAATCGTCTCAATAAGTAGATTATTAATATTCAATTGTTATAATTTATATTTAGTGATAATTAAAATATTAGTTTACATTGGCATGCGTGTCATGTAATTATGGGGCACTCAAAAAAGCAGAGGGAGTACAATACAAGCAATTATAGGTATATCATACATTACTGGAAAAAAAAAAATTCGGATTATTCGGAGGTTCGATTAAATGGACCGATCTCGGATCCTAACATTACGAGTCGGATTGAACTTGGATTTTCGAATTCAAATCCGAGTCCAGAGTTCGTTTACTAAACGGATCGGATTTGAATTTAGCACATCTAACCCAAATTCGATCCGTTGCCATTCCTAATCCCAATTCTCAGCAGCTCATCTTTTCTATTCCCAATCCCAATTTCCCACCACATACTTACAAGAAAAAGAGAACAACAATGGCACTATGTAGTCACTCCACAATAACAGCATCAACAGCAACGATTCACACCAGATGTTTCAGCGCTTCAAAAGAGGCCAACCTTTCAAAACCCTCTTTGAAGCTTCCCCTTGTCTGGCCATGGCAAAAGGTAACTTCTAATCTAACTCTTTAAACATTCAGACCCATCAAGTGTTTGATTAAATGCCTAAGAGAAATTTAATTTTCCATTTTCTATGAAAACTAGGTCAAAGTGGGCCCTCTTAGTGTTTCTCCAATGGGGTTTGGTACCTGGGCATGGGGGAATCAACTCTTGTGGGGTTACCAAGAATCAATGGACAATGAGCTTCAACAGGTTTTCAATCTTGCTGTTGATAATGGCATCAATCTTTTTGATACCGCTGATTCTTATGGAACTGGGAAATTAAATGGGCAAAGTGAGAAGCTTTTGGGCAAGTTTATTCGTGACTATAAAGGTTAGTTTGTTTATGTTTTACATTCTTCTTGTTGGGGTTTGCCCATTTATATGGATGCTTTAATTGCATTTGTTTTCGATGGGACACGATAATATCTGCTAGAATGTTGTGCATTGAAAAATTATGTGGTTATATTGACAAATAATTGTTAAATCAGTGCTAAAATGAAGAAAACTCTGTGTGTATGCAATATTATAGATATGATGCATCCCTTGAGATCATCAGTTTACCACAGGATTGAATGATTATTATAGGATATTGCTAATTGTGGTTCGAAATTTAACCGGAGAAGGCCCTAGGAAGCCCACCTGCTTGCTATGACAATGGGCCAGCTTGCACTTGCAAGAGTTGCAACTAAATAGGATTATTATACAAAAATGATGTTGTATAGTTTGAAGTTGAGGCTTTATGAAAGGGATAGATTTAGCTTGTAATTATGCAAGTGGAAATGGAGATTGATTGAATTGGTGCTGTTAAAGGTTGGATAAGGAAGTTGCATGAGATATTTGTATATCTCATAAGTCATAAGTGATTGTGGTTGGATAAGGATGTAAAAGCCACACTTGTATGTGATATTCGTATATCTCATAGATCATAAGTGATTTTTTTTTTTTTTTTTTTTTTTCAGGATGATGTGGGAATAATAATCAATATAATTCAGATCAGTCATATTATAATGTCGACACAATAAATCTATTAATGTAATCTTCAGCTATTTTGAGTAGCCCATTTAGAGGTTGTTGGAAAGTTGTATATATTCCATTGAAGAATGACTAGAGCTTGCAATTGGCTTGTTTTTTTGACACCACTTTAGGCATTTTCTCATTTATAGCAAGGAGAATTTGACATACATGAAACACACTGCTCTTGGGAGAAAATTCACAAACCATGATAAAGCTTATCAAGAGGGGGGAACTCATCAATTGTGAGACGAATTTACTAAGTAATCATTAGCTCATAAATCAAGTAAATTTATGCTGTAAATCAAAAAAAGAAACTAGTAAGGTATAGCCTGGAGTAGAAGCCTTCAAGGAGTTAGAAAACAACTAGGGTTTTTCTTAAGGGAAATTTCACAAGATACCCTTTTACATTTGCAACATACACAAGATACTCATCATATATTCATATCTAACTTAATGCAGCTTATGCCCCTATTTATAAATTATGCACAATGCATGCAAAATGTAAAAATCTATTTGCATTATATATCTTTTTTGAAATAAATCTATATGCATAAAATGCATTATTTATTTTATTGAAACAATCTGTATGCATTATTTGATGGAAACGAAAATCAAATATTTAAAATTAAGGTCAGATGTGTCTCACACAACTAACTTGGTAGTTGAACTTGTTCCACATCATTATTAATTGACAGAAGTTTGTATATGTACTGTGTAATTTTTGATAATAGAGGTGTATGGTGCACAAAGCTAGACATGAAGATATACATCATTATTATGCGTACATATTCATGAAATCTCTCTGTTTTGAACATTGTGTTCATGTACAATGCAAATTTGTCTTTTAATATGTCTTGGACTGGCACAGTATTGTTGTCTTTACATTAGTTAATATTTGAATTTAAATCTGATAACTCCCCTAAGTATTTAGGTCACTTCATAAGGCTAGTGAATGGACTAAATGAGCATAGATGTATCAAACATAATCAATCAAGATATATAAATGCGTGGGTTAGATTATTTGATTGACAAAGAAAAAAACATCAGTGTCGTTAATATACTTATGGAAATGATTTAACAGGAACAAAAAGAAATTTGGAGTATTATAGGAAGTTGGTTACCGCCTAGTTTAATTGCAAGTGATGCTTGTTGCAGCGCAAGGAATCCATTGAATCTTATTGAATCTGTAGCAATTTCTAATATTTTTTTTGCTATGTTTGTTGTTGCGGATGGTTCCTTGTGACGATTCATGTTAGTTGACTCCAAATTATTTTGGGATTTGTGCAATTATTGTCATAAATGATACTTCAACTACTAGCCGCTGACAATTTGAATCATCATAGGCATTTTCTCAGAATTAACATCTAGAGGCCTTTATTCCTTGAAAGATTTTTTATTTTTAGATAATGATAATACTACTCAGTAGTTAATGTTGATGGGAAAACCAGATATCTAATGACAACCCGTAAGTTCTAACTTCATGATTAAGAACCTTTGAGAAACTATAGAATTGTATGTGCTTTAGTGCCACAAATTGTCTGGAATCAGAGAATTTATTTTACACGATTCTTCTGGGTATATATCAGGTATGTGTTTGTACTTCTAAAGCTATCATTATGTATCGCAAATTCAATAGAATGAGGACATCTGACAATGAATATTTAAGGACTTTTGTTATTTATGTATATGGGTTCACTGTTCACCATGTATTCTTGGTTCTTGTGGGTAGAGCATGTGCAGCTGACCTCATCTAGTGGGAAAGTGGATAGTTTGGTTAGCGTATAAATTAATACAGTTTGCAATTTCACATTAATGTCTATGCTTTTGATTGCCTTTTTATGATAAATTTCAGAAGGCTGAATTGTGAATGCTATCAAATAAAACTGCATTTGACGTGCATTTTTTTTCTTCAGGGAAGAAAGGAGTACGGGATAATATTGTAATTGCAACAAAGTTTGCTGCATATCCATGGCGATTAACTCCGGAACAATTTGTGAATGCTTGCAAGTATGTCTCTTGTTCTCTAAGCCACCCCCCCTCTCCTGGTTCAGTTTAAATAAATGAAAAGTTATGGGTATCTGATTTCAGGGAAACTAAAAATAAATTTCCAGGGGCTAGAATATTTGAGATTATGTTGATATTGATTGCAAAAAAGCTGCGCACACATGCTATTTTAGTGTTATGATATTGAAATATTGGAACTGATAGTCTGATAGTGTTTGATAGTCTGATGTTTCAGGTCTTCTCTTGATCGAATGGAACTTGAGCAAATTGGGATAGGGCAACTGCATTGGTCAACTGCAAATTATGCTCCATTGCAAGAGATGGCTCTTTGGGATGGATTAGTAGCAATGTATGAGAAGGTTATACTTTATGATGTGGAGCTCTTTCACTATCCCTCCCTTTTCCCCTGACAGCTATCATTCCAAGAAGTTGATTTGTGCTGCAAACTTTTACTTTTTCTTTCTGTTTTTTTTTTTTTTTTTTTTTTTTTTTTTTTTTTTTTTTTTTTTTTTGTTCTTCCTGTAAACTAACTCTTATGAGTTAGGATGGCATTGAAGGGATATTGATTGTGGGATGATCTCATGATTTTGACTGCAGGGGTTGGTTCAAGCAGTTGGTGTAAGCAATTATGGTCCTAAGCAACTTGAAAAGATATATACATATCTCAATGATAGAGGAGTCCCTTTATGCTCTGCTCAGGTACACAGCTTATGGCATGATCTTTCTTTCTTTCTTTCTTTTCTTTTCTTTTTTTTTTTTTTTTTTTGGTTCATTTATTAAACAGAATTATCAGAATAGCAGAGGTTTTTTGGATAGCTACAATTTTTGTTCATGTGAATGCACCGGGGGGGGGGGGGAGGGTTAAAAAGGTAACATTTTCAGTTAACTGCTGATAATCATCTGGTCAAGCTCTGCTGATCTTTGTATTTTGCATCATACTTGCAGGTGCAGTTTTCTTTGTTAAGCTTCGGAGATGAGCAGATGGAGGTAAAAAAAATGTGTGATTCTTTGGGCATCCAGTTAATTGCATATAGTCCTCTTGGGCTTGGGATGCTTACTGGAAAATATACTCTTTCAAATTTGCCAAGTGGGCCCAGGTACATCTCAATTTTCAGTTGATCTCTTTAATTTTGCACGTGTGCATTGGGGTTTATCTGATAAGATAATTACAATAAAACAGGTCCCTGTTGTTCCGGCAAATCCTCCCAGGACTGGAACCTTTGCTGCATTGTTTGAATGCAATAGCTAGTAGGCGTCAGAAAACAATGAGTCAAGTATGTTTAATTGACTCCCTTGGCCACCGCTTAAATTGATTGTTGTGACTTGCTAATATGGTCAATATATGTCACATTAAGTATGATAATTGTTTTGCCTGGATATATAGTTGCCTATTTTAAGTTGCTTGGATTGTATTGGCATATTCAGAATCTTTGTTGTAAATATACCATGAAGCAAAAAACAGGGGAGTATGGGAACTGGTTTCTTGGAGTTAGCTGTGGCTCCTTCCCTGCTTTCCTTCGGAGAGACCAGGATTCAAATTTCATTTTATGCCACTATCTGCCTTTCTGATGCCTAGGCATTGAGATAGGACTTTCTTAATATTAAAACAAAAGTAGACCTTGAAGCTACAGTAATTTTGCTCTGATTATTAGCACATTAAGTCAAAACAATATCTGGTTTAAGCATAATTGTATAAAAGAAAAGGTGACATTATGCATGTGCTGGAGATTTTTAAAAAAAATCAGTTTTCCACTGGTTTCTTTCCTCTTTATCTCTGGATTTGATTATTAGACATCTAAGCTTTTGGGAGAATTGGGCTAATTAATACTAACATTTAACTCATGCTTTCTTAAAATTTGAGAATAGCAAGTGCTTTGCTAGCTGCCCAATGTAGACATAAATTGCGAATATGATAATCTTCTGTTATCTTTGTATTCCTTTGGTCCCATAGTAAACTTTCACATAACACTTCTCTTAACCCTTATTTGCCCACTATGATCAACTAACCAATTTTTGAGATGACAAAACTCAACTATGAAGTCCTGGGACAGAAGGGATAGAATCTGATGCTTTGTACGGGCTTGTGTTGAGAGCGCTTCGCAAAAGAATTGTGTGGCGCGGTGAAAGGTTTCCATTCTCCTAATTTAGCCTATAGACTTTGGTTTAGGTTCAATCCAAGACCAGGAAAGCATCAACGAGTTGATCATATCCTTCTATAAACTGTACGAGCACGTCCTGCATGACAAGCTCTTGAATACATTCATGTAGGCATCAATTTATCGAGGGAATAGTTTTACAGTTAGTAATCAGAGTAATGCCATAGTAGCCTTTTTTTCCCCCAAGGAAAATAGAACTTACAGAAGAGAGCAGTGAACATTGTACTGTTGTACATTTTCGATATGAAGTTCAGATCTTTATATAAATTTATTTCAGAACATAATTATCTCGACATATGAATTGTTAGAGTTTGAAAAAAATTTCAAACTAAATCAAGTTTACTTATTATTTTCTGACTTAGATGATAGAAGAATTAACTGAGATTGATGTTTGGGTATAATGTTTCCATCACATTGCATATGAAATTATGAAAGTTATTAATAGTGTTTATGTGACTAGTTTCTTGTTTGCATATATCTTTTTAATCATGCTCAGTTCCTAATTTTTAATAGTCAGCAGATAGCAATTAACTGGTGCATCAGCAGGGGTACGATTCCCATACCGGGTGTCAAAAATATCAGACAAACCCATGAAAATTTGGGTGCACTTGGTTGGCGTCTCAGTAAGGATGAAATGACTCAATTGGAAGATGCAGCACGCCAATCTCCTAGAAAGATGATCCAGAATGTATTTCAGACCAGGTAAAGTGACTTGGAAGTATGCTTTTGGCATTTTGATCAATTGATGATTACTCCATTTAGCTTATGATTAAAAACCTATAAAAGTTAGTATTTTTAAAGTATTCTTGACCTTTTAAAACTCGCATAAAGTCCTTTTTATGAATAAGATATTTCTCATCTAGTCCTACCTCCGTCCCTAAACAACACTTCATAGTTATTTATTTTAACTTGCAATAATTTGACTTTTTGAAGTTTGTACTTTTCACATTTCCACTTTGACTTTTTTTTTGGTTACAAATACCTATATAAATACAAATGTTATTATGTTCAGTCAAAAAGAAAATAAAAAAAAAATAAAAAAAAATTTATTTTGTAAAATGTGATTGAAATTTGTCTGAACGTATATTTTAAAAAACTAGCTTTTTAAAATTAAAATAAAAAAAAATTTAATGGTCAAAGTTTTATGTAGATAGACGTGGAAGCCAAAAAACCAAAATGGTACGATTTTTAAGGGCCTTGTCAAAATGTGATCTATATATGGAGGGAGTTGTATCTGTGACATTGTTCAATTTTATCATTGCAACTAGTTCAACAGAATCCTAGAAAAGCTGCAGTGCCTTTTTACTCAACCTCCAATGTCTCCTTGAAATTTCAGGTAATCCCAATTTCTTGCTTGCAAATACATACATGGCGAAAATTCCAGAAGATGATACCCATCATGTTGATAAAGGTAATTCAATTCAATTATGGGTTTTTGGCAACATGTGAACTCTCTTTTCTGATACTACAATCTAGTTCAATTTGACCTGTTTGGTAAATTTCAAATGCTTGTAAAGAGCTAGAAGATGAAGAAAGTACATTATATCCTTGCTATACTATCTTACAGTTCAATATTACCTTAGATATGTTACCCGTTCAGATAGTAATATTCACTTGATAGAATCCTTAAGCACGGCAAGAAAATCAATTGGTTCATCATTGGAGAGAAACTGGATGTTCTTGTTTGCTTACGGGTCCTTGTACATGTACTGGCATAAATTTTGATGTCCTCACTAAACAAGGCTGCTAATCTTAACCTCGTTTGACCAATGAGCTTGGAAAAAAAAAAAAAAAAAAAAAAAAATTTAAGGATCAAAGCCTTCACATTGTTGTGAAACCAATAAACCAAATTATATGGATGTCATAACCTGCAGGTATGTACTTCGTATATATTTTGGGGGACAGCAACCAAAGAAGACTGGCATTTTGATGTCAAAAGCAGAAGCTTGGAGATTGTTGTGGGATGTTTTTTCGAAATCATACGATTGTGTGTTTTTTTAATGCAGTAAGCAAAAAATAACCTCGAAGTATTTCTCTCTATATGTACTCATAAAATCGTAGTTACCCAGATATTTAGAGTTCACAGCTTAATGGCAATTAAACTTGAATCAGTATTTTATATACCAGTATATGTATTCATTCATCTTACAACTTGATGATTTTTATTACAATCTCAGGTACTAATTGTACCATTAAAAAAAAAAACAATTTAAAGATTTAGTAAGGCTTTCAGCCTTGTATAAATACTTCATAAGAGTAATGAAAATTTTGTTTGAAATTCCCATCTTCAGTTTATTTTTTTGTTACCTCTTGCAAACTACTGCTCGTCCATTCATCCCACTAGCACAATTCATGCTAGCAAGATTCATGGTTTGGATGGAAGTCTCATCCTGACCGTCATAAAACCTTGAAGCCAAACAATCAGTGGCAAAAATGCTACTACTTGCATACTCCTTGTCTCCTCCCATAATTGGCATGGCTACTCCCATTTTCACTCGACTCACGTAATCATCCCTATAAGTTTTTCCTAACACACCATCAACCCTGTCAGTCAATGAATAGAATTTAAATCCGAGGTCAAGATGAGCATAGCAGTCCTCGTCGGTTATGTCATAGCTGTGTGCCCTAGATTCTTCATCGGTAATGGGTACTACTTTGGCCGTGATCTGAAGTTTTCCTTGCACTTGGATAATAATACTGTTGGTTTCACTCATCCTTGTTATAATGACTCGTGGCATTGTGGTGGATGACCATCGAGAACCTTGAGTTTCTTTCAAGAATATGGGCTCTCCATCAAAGGCCAATGAGAGGCTGTCTTTGGCATCATTCCATTCAGAAGTCTTTGTGGCGCCTAAGAAGAGACGATGGTTGTCGAACAAGATTCCAATGGATTGAACCCATGTGAAGTCGCGACTCATCTTTTTATTTCTTTTTCCAATGAAGTGTGCGTTGATGTGGAGATTTTGGTCGCTTACAAGGCAAAAGTCTTCGTTCTTCTTACCATGGAAGTAAAAGGTAATTCCATCTCCTCCTATGAAGCGAGGGTCTTGACACACTGCTCCTGGATAGTCACAATCTAAAATGTACAAATATATAAAATTAGTGACCAATTTAAGTTGATTAAACATGATAATAAAGAAAATAATTCTACTTTTTCGATCAATAAATTAACTTTTGGATTTAAACTACCTTTCCACATGTGTAGTTTTAATATAAAGTGTAAGGTGTACTAAAAAAAACTTACTGCAAACGGGCTTGCAAGTGACACAATCAACTTGACAAGAAGTAGGGCAACTGGCTGGGCATACATGCTCTTGGTTATAACATTGGTTGTAGTCCTTGTTCTTGCATCTAACTCTCTTTCTAGAATTATGAGAAGTAGAAGGTGTTGGTGAGGTTAATGGAGTAGGATATTTAGATGGCGCCCCTGATGATGACGGTGAGGATGAAGAGGAGGAAGAGGAAGATGATGATGACGACGACGACGACGATGATGATGACGACGACGACGACGACGATGATGATGAAGACGAATTATATCCATTATTAGAACCAGATGTATTCGATGGTGGTGATGTGGTTGACGGAGTAGGAGATAATATTGGAGGTGACGGTGGTGTGGATGGAGTAGGATTTGGTTGGGGTGATGATGATGGCGGAGTTGATGGATTAGATGGAGAAGGTTTTGGTGATAATGGAGTAAGAGATGGTGTTGAAGGGGGTGGAGATTTATGAGATGGTGATGGGGTTGGGGATGGATGATTAGAAGAATTAGATGGTGCTCCTGATGATGAAGACGAGGATGAAGATGAGGATGAAGATGATGATAATGATGATGATGATGATGATGACGTCGAAGAGGATGAATTGTATCCTGAATTAGGTGTATCTAATGAAGGTTTTGGTGGGGTAGGAGATGATGGGGTTGATGGAGTAGAAGGATGTGATGATGAAACTGGCGGTGGTGATGGTGAGGTTGGTGTAGACGAAGAGGGTGTTAGAGATGGTGGCGTACGAGATGGAGTTGAAGGTGATGGTGATGGAGACAGAGGGGAAGATGGTGGGGTCGATGGAGTAGGAGATTTAGACTGTGATCCTGAAGATGAGGAGGATGAGGAGGTTGAATTATGTCCTTCATTAGATTGAGTATTAGGAGGAGATGATGTGGCCGATGGAGTAGGTGATGGTGCTAAAGATGGAGATTTAGTTGATGGTGGGGTTAATGGAGTATAAGGAGCTGATGTTGGTGATGATGAAGATGGGGAAATTGATGGAGATTTAGGAGGTGATGATGGCGTAGGTGATGATATTGGAGGTGGTGGAGATTTAGGAGATGGTGATGGGATTGTTGGAGTATGAGAATTAGATGGTGTTTTAGATGACGACGACGATGATGATGAAGAGGAAGAAGCTGAAGAGGATGATGATGATGATGATGATGAGGAAGAGGCAGAAGAGGATGAAGACGAAGATGAAGAATTATCTCCATGTGATGGAGTTGGATGTGCAATTGTCGGAGATGGAGTAGGAGAATGGTGTGTTGGTGGTGGTGATCGTGGGGTAGATGGAGTATCAGGAGCTGATGTTGGTGGTGACGATTGGGGGATTGATGGAGATGGTGATATATTAGACGATGTTATTGATGGTGGTGGAGAGTTAGGAGATGCTGATGGGGTTGTTGGAGTATGAGAATCAGATGGTGTTTTTCCAGACGACGACGATGACGACGATGATGAGGAGGAGGACGACGAAGACGAAGAGGAAGTGGAGGATGATGACGATGATGAAGAATTTGTAGATGAGGAATTATCTCCATGTGATGGAGTTGGAGATGCAGTTGTCGAAGATGGAGTGGGTGAATGATGTGTTGATGGTGGGGGTGATCGTGGGGTAGATGGAGTATCAGGAGTTGATGTTGGTGGTGACGGGGGGATTGATGGTGATGGAGTAGGCGATGGTATTGAAGGTGGTGGAGATTTAGGTGATGGTGATGGAGTTGTTGAAGTATTAGAATTAGGTGGTCCTCCAGAAGATGATGATGATGACGATGATGATGACGACGATGATGAGGAGGAGGACGAGGAAGAAGCAGAGGAGGATGATGATGATGATGACGAAGATGAAGATGAAGAATTATCCCCAAGTGGTGACTGAGTAGATGGAGTTGGAGATGCAGCTATTGGTGGTGGTGATTGTGGTGTTGACGGAGTAAAAGAGGAAGGTGGTGCTTGTGGTGAAGATGTATGAGATGGTGTTTTCGACAGGGGAGAAGGAGATGGTGCTAAAGGCGTTGTTGAAGATGGTGTTGGAGTATGAGAATTAGATGATGGTACCCCAGATTGTGATGGAGATTTATCCCCTTCATTTTTAGCCTTAGCATTTTCCACGTCGCCTGCTTTCTTACCACCATTTTTATCTTTAACTTTTCCTCCACTTTCATCCTTGGTATCTTCTCTACCACCCTTGGAATTTTCACCGTCTTTGTTACTCTTCGAACCATCTTTAGGTGATGGTGATGACAATGGCGGTGGTGATCCTTCTGCGGTAGAAGGTGTATCATATGTAGGTGATGATGATCCTGTATTAGATGAAGGCGAATCATTGCCATCATCGTCTTTTTTTTTACCTTCTTTATCTTCACCAGATCCTTTTTTACCACTTTCCTTTACATGGACTCCTTCTTTATAATCTTTGTTCTCTTTTTCCTCTTCATTACCTGTCTTTTTCTTATCGTCTCCTTTCTTGTCACTATTTTTGTCATCTTCTTTTTTCCCACTTTCATTTTTTCTATCTTCTTTGGAATTTTCATCGCCTTTTTTACCATCCGAATCCGAATTATCTTTAGATGACAATGGTGGTGATGATCTTTTAGGAATAGAAGGTATATCATACGTAGGTGATGATGATCCTGCATCAGACGAAGGTGAATCATTGTCATCATCGTCTCTCTCTTTACCTGCTTTATCTTCATCAGTTCCTTTTTTACCACTTTCCTTCACATCGACTCCTTTTTTACCATCTTTGTTTTTTTCTTCCCCTTCACTAACAACTTTTTTCTCATCATCTCCTTTCTTACCACTATCTTTATCTTCTCCTTTTTTCTCACTTTCATTCTTGTTATCTTTTTCTTTACCTCCTTTGGAGTTTTCACCGCCTTTTTTACTATCCGAACCACCCTTAGATGACGGTGGTGATACTGATCCTTTAGCAGTAGAAGGTATATCATATGTAGGTGGTGATGATCCTGTATTAGATGAAGATGAATCATTTTCAGCATCTCCTTTATCATCTTTTTTGTCTTCATCAGCTCCTTTTTTACCATCTTTGTTTTCTTTTTCGTCGTCATCACTAGTTTTTCCCTTATCTTTTGCTTTTTTACCACCATTTTGATCATCTTCTTTGTTCTCACTTTCATCATTTTTATCTTCTTTATCTCCTATAGAATTTTCACCACCTTTTTTACCACCTGATTCATCTTTAGATGATGGTGGTGATTGTGAATTATATCCAGGTGGAGTTGATGATGATCCCGCATCTGTCGAAGGTGGTGATGATCCTGTATCAGACGAAGGTGAATCATTTTCAGGCGGGGAGGAGGATCCCTTGTCACCATCACTTGATGATGATCCAGAAGAACAAATTGGCTTGCATGAAGCACATTCTACTTCACAACTGTCTGGACAAAACTTAGGACAAACATGTTCCAAGTTATAGCACATCTTGTACTTCTTGATCTTACATGACGCTCTTGAAGGATTTTTGGCAATCCCCGGAGGAGTAGTTGCCTCTATCAACATGCCCAACAACAAAACAAAGCATCCAAGATAAAATATCTTGGATGGTGCCATTTTCCAACTCTAGCTATTATTAAAGTTGGAAACTGGCCTGGTTTAATGCAAAAAGTTGTAGTTTAAGAAGGTTTAAGGGTAGATGATATTCATACCCCAAATGAATTACAGTTATATAGATGTGTAGGAACTAGTAAGTCAATGTTCATAATTTAGTATTTGTATATTCCTAAGATTTTGGGTCAAGTAGTTGAATATATTTCTTGAAGTTATAATCCACATGCAACTAACAATACTTACATGTATGGCTATCAGAAAAATAAATGATTCCTGATATGCTTTTGTGTGTATCTAAAGTGCAAGTTTAATAATTAAATAATTTTTAATATTATAATTAATTAATTTATAAATTTGTGTATTATATTATTCTGCTTTTTGCAGTGAAACACAAAGTGGGAGCAATAGGATTGGAAGAAAACACTAAAAAAACAAGAACTTTGATTGTTAATCCTGTTATTATGCCGCTTTTTTCATTTTACAATTGGAATCACTTTAATGTGAAGTTAAAAAAAAAAAAAAAAGGGTATTTCTTTATTTTGACATGCAGCAAAAGCGTACTTTATGTGAGAATAATAAAACTCAACCAGAATAATGATGATTATGTATTAATGAAGTTGTTTATCATATAATTACGGTTTTGAGGATTTAGAGAGAGAGAGAAAAAAATAAAATAAAAAAAAATAAACGAATATTATGAATAGTGTAATTTGAGGATTAAGAAAAAAGATACTGATTTATTATCTTACATGAAGAAATTGCTTAGTCCGTACTCCCTAAATATATCTAGGCCTCTAGGGCTGTATTTATGGAAGAAGCCATATTAAGCAAGAGACCATTCATCTTTACAGCTATGATCAATTGGTGTAGAGGAGCTGAATTGAGTGTCACTTACTCACTTGGAATGATTGCTACTACACGAGAAGTTAGATTGCTTGGTGTGGTTGAGTACACTAGTACAAATTATACAAGGGATGGTTCCAATTGGGGCTCGGTGTAACTCTATATCTTACCGCCCCTTCATCGAGTCAACACAGTCTTGTTCAGCAAAATAAGCTATGTTAAATTTATCAAAAATAATTTTAGTCCATCAAAAGCAAATTAAGTGAAAATAATTAGATTTAAGGAAAAAAAAAAGTTATCCAATAAAAAAAGTTATTTAATTTTAAGCAAAATAATTTTTGTAATAAAGTGAGGCAAAAATTTGATACAAGAATATACTACTTGTGTTAGTTTAAATCAGCAATAAAACAATTGTAAAAAGTGAGAATCAGTCGTATTCAAATATAATTATTAAAAACAACAATTTTTTTTTGACGGGATAAAAATAAACACAATTTTAATCATCAATAATTTGTTTTATCAATAAACATAATTTTAATCAATAGAACTAAGTTTCGATTAGTTAATGATTATTTTAATCAATACAGAGTTTTAATTAAATTTGTTTGACAAAAGTGAAATTAATTAAACAGTCTAAGTTAATTTCAACTAAAGTAAGTTGATTCGAACAAATATTTAGTCGACAGGAATCTAACCGTAGGTAACATTGTTTGTAAAGATATTATCTAAATTTTTTAAATTTTCATTTTTTTTTTTTAGGTGGGTGGGTGAGAGGCATTAGACATTCCTCACTTTCAGTATAATCAAAGTGTTAATTTGTTGTTCGTTAAAAAAAAAAAAAAAGTGTTAATTTGTTGAAAATCTTGTCTTGAATCTAAACAATATTTATAAATCCTAGTAGCACTATTGTCAAACTAATTAAGTTTGACCTTATGGAAAGAAAAAGACATTCTGTCCTTAAGGTTAGGTGGTTTAATACATTAATATACACTAGGGTCGATTTGACAAAAGAAAAATAATATAAAGGCAAATAATTGACAACACCATACCCATTGCAAGTTTGCTAACACAAAAATAAAAATTAAAAAATAATAAAATAATACTATGCAGTAATTTAAATAAATAAATAAAAAATCTCTACTAATAATAATAATTAATAAACTCTACTAAACTAGCAAACCATCTCAAAATTTTCATGCTAGCTAGGATTAAGGCCGCGAGATAAATTTCACGTACATGATGTCATAGTTTTGTAGTGTCATTGGCTCACTACAATTTTGGGTATTGACTAATGACATTGTAGAATTTTTAATGTAATTGTGTATGTATTAGTCCTATTTTCTTCAAAATCTTGTTAAACGTGGATAGATTTATTAAACATAAAATGAAGGAAATCAAATTCCGTAGATCGATCTCCCTTTCCGATTTTCATTATGGGATCGTAGCAAAACCATTATTACTGTCATTTTTGGACCTGACAATATAGAATAAGTTATCTTATATTTAGAAACATACTAAGTATATGTTTAGTCAATAACACGTTCAAATGTCACTTCTTCTTGCCAAGCCAAGACGATCAAATCACTATTAAGTTTTCACGTCACAATGGGTAATGAATTTGTCCCTAGCTCAACGACGAAAGTTTCTTTAGTACAACCCAATCGAGAAGGCACGCGTGGTGGTCTGCTACAAATCAATCTAACAAGCTGCTGGGATTATCCTAGGTTTCGATACTTCATTATGAAAAAAGGTGTTTAGAGGGGGAGGGGATCATAACCACTTCCTGAAGCTTTGGAATGGGTTAGGCCTTGCTTACCCTAAACTAGAATAACAACATTAATCAATAAAAACAAATTAAGCTTGCGTGATCATGCACTAATGGACTGGCCTGTACTTTTTTTAGTACTGAATACCATTTAGATGAACTATATGAAAAGATGTACTACACATTTTAAACCCAGTCATTAATCATATGATTTGAAATTGATCTGATATAACCAAATCCGAAATATATGCGACTAATATTGAAGCACATGTTAAGATACCTATCATAACATGTAAATAATCGGAAAGTTTTGATTCAAACAAACTCGAAATCCAACCTAATGACACGCATATAATTAAGTCTGGACCGGAATGGTTGACATGATCAAACCTTGCTATTTGAGTGAATTGTTTGTCACCTCTTGACATGATCAAACCTTGCTATTTGAGTGAATTGTTTGTCATCTGCTGCATCTGCAGCATCATCTGCAGCATCGTCTGCAGCATCCTCAGCAACATCATCAGCGTCATCGTCATCAACATCGTCAGCATCATCGGCCGCCGCTGCAGCTGCAGCAGCTGCTGCCGCAGCAGCAGCATCTGGCTCCTCGGCTGCAGGAGGAGGACAATCAAGCTCCCATAACTCATCATCAACCCCACCAACACCGATATATTACCCAACACCTTCAACACCAACACCGGCCACACCTAAGCCCTCGACTCCTACCCCAACACCAAAACCTTCTACCCCATCAACCCCAACACCAAAACCCTCTACCCCCACTCCTAGCACCCCTAAACCTTACACTCCTCCTAATTCTAACGCTGGCTCTAGAAATAGAGCTAGATGTAGAAACAAGAACTACGGACAGTGCTACAATCAAGAGCATGTTTGTCCTGCTAATTGCCCTACTTCGTGCCAAGTTGATTGTGTCACTTGCAAGCCTGTCTGCAGTAAGTCATATATTACTCTACTAAAGAATACAAATTACCACTACACAAGCTAAAACATAATGCCAACTATAAATTTACTCCAACATAAGAGATTTAAAGTTATATTGATTGGACATACATTTATATGTTAACTTATTATTAGTAGCTAGTAGTAGCATACACAGTTTGACTATGTCGTAATTTTTGTTCAAATTAGTAATGTCCAACTCATTTAAATTGTACTAATTACTAGTTATATGTTTTTTGCATTGTAGATTGTGACTATCCAGGAGCCGTATGCCAAGATCCTCGCTTCATTGGAGGTGATGGTATCACCTTCTACTTCCATGGCAAGAAGGATAAACAATTTTGCCTAGTAACCGACCCCAACCTCCACATCAACGCACACTTCATAGGAAAAAGAAATGCAAACATGGGCCGCGACTTTACATGGGTTGAGTCCATTGGAATCCTCTTTGACAACCACCGTCTATTCTTTGGTGCTAGGAAGACCGGCACATGGGATGATGCCAAAGACCGCCTCTCATTGGCCTTTGACGGAGAGCCCATATTCCTTGAAGAGACTCTAGGCTCTCAATGGTCATCCACCTCCATGCCACAAGTCACCATAACAAGGACAAGTGAAACTAACAACATTGTTGTTGAAATTCCAGGAAAGCTAAGGATCACGGCTAAGGTAGTACCTATTACCGACGAAGAATCTAGGGTACACAACTATGATATTACTGATGAGGATCGTTTTGCTCATCTTGATCTCGGGTTTAAATTTTACTCATTGACCGGAAAGGTTGATGGTGTATTAGGAAAAACATACAGGAATGATTACGTGAGCCGAGTGAATATGAGGGTTGCCATGCCGGTTATGGGAGGAGAAAGACAGTACGCAACTAGTAACATTTTTGCCACCGATTGTCTGGCTTCAAGGTTTGTTGGTGGACAAGAAGAGACTTCAGTTGAGACCATGGAACTTGCTAGCATGAACTGTGCTAGTGGCATGAGTGGACGTGGTGTTGTTTGCAAGAGATAACTCATCAACATAATTATATGGTCGTTGAAATATATGTATTTCAAAATCCATCAATACTCATTAATAATGTCAATGTACACGACTGAAAGTAAAAAAATTCAACATTTTTATGTTATTTTGTAATAAGATTGTAAGGTGACTACATTTACATTAATACAATACTTTTCAATATTTTGTTTAACATACGAATTTATCAACTAATTGATAACTATAATCGACCTAGAATCAAGCCTGAAATGGCCATCGGAATGAACCTGTATTAGTGCAGAAAAACTCAAGAGCTCGGCAAAATCTGTATAGAACCATTTCTATTTCATTGACATTAAGAAAATTACTGAGCAATAATAAAATAACGGATAAATAAACGCATATTGTCTTACTAATGTAAATATTCAAAAACCAAAGGCAACAAAAATATCTGGACAAATAAGACTACTAAGGGTGATGTACGCCTTATTTAAGAATATAAAAATCGTAATACTACTAGTAGAACTAAAAGAGCCAATGTTTTAGAACTAATTTGAGTAAACCCCTACGAGCCATAGTTAAACAGCTTAGTCCGAACACCAACACCATAGAAACCGCTGTCCAAACATTAGCTGCAAACAACTGGTCGCTCTACTTGATCTTCTTCTTTGGCCTCAACTGCAAACCAACATTAAAATTTTCAATTTCAAACCAAACAGCTATGAAATCAAGAACAAGTTTAAGTTGAAAGGCTAAATGTATCAACAAACCTGGTTGCTGTGGCCACATTTCTTCTTCCTGCAGTTAACAGCACGAGGATGCAGGCGAGCATAGCACCTAGAAGATTTAAGATCGAATTAATAATTACACATAGGTTATAAAAAGCTGTAGTGCTGGAAAACAGAGCGCCATCAACCGACAAAAGACACTGCTATGATCATGACCAGAGCTAACATTGGAGACAATGGCATGCAGATCAACAAGAAATATCAATTGTAATGCAACTCAATGTGGTTTAAGATAGAACTCTCAATCCATTGCATTCAGGTTAGGAAAGCTAATCCTAATTACCTGGATCAAACACATGTAAGACTGAAGATATTATGGTAAAAAAAACCCAAGTCACAATTTATAAGCAATTTGAACTCATGTTAACCATAACAGTTAATGAACCAAGCACCTATATACTATGCTCGTGACCTCGTGAAATCAGCCAAGGCAAAAGCTGGATTGTAACTGCTCATTGTTGAACCAATAGAGCCTAATTAAGAGGATGCTCCATTAACAAAAGAAGACTACACACTAGATACTTACTTGCGGCAAATCATCTTGTCCTGGTTGAATTTCCTAGCCAGGGCCATCAGAGAAGGCTCAATAATTCCACCACGGAGCCTCAGGACCAGATGAAGGGTAGACTCTGCAATTGCACAATATTTAATCAAATGATCCAATATATGAATAGAAGAATAATAGAAAATCAATTACAGAACCAGAAACAAATTAAATAAAACTAAGCATTCGTAATGACAATTGAGGTGTAATCATTTCACTATGTTAGGCATGCCTATATATAATCACAAGAAATTAACCAATAAAAAAAGGGAAAGCAGCAAAGAGCAACTAACCCTTTTGAATGTTGTAGTCAGCAAGAGTGCGGCCATCTTCAAGCTGCTTTCCAGCAAAGATCAGCCTCTGCTGGTCTGGTGGAATGCCTGTAGCAAAGAAAATCATCATTATCACTCTCAATTGATGCAACAAAATTCAATAATGCGCCTAAATTATGAAGCTAGCAAAAAAATTCTATAACGCGCCTAAATTATGAAGCTAAAACACACAATTAACCCATACGTCAATATATATCCCATCAAAAACCAACACAATCACATGTTTAGCTTATGACTTATAAAAGCTATCTATTAGCAATAACACATTCAATGAGTGAAAAACCATAAAGATAATCTACTAAAAACTTCAAATGTCCAAACACAAATTTTCAAAACACAAGCACACTAAGATCAAACTGCAATACCCAAATTTCAAAACACTTTGCCGATTATATGTTAAGTCAACAAAGATTAATAGTAAAATAAATTTAACAATAAAAGTGAATCAAATTAAAAAGAATTCAATTCCGATATATTTTCAAACTTCTACATGCTAAAATCTTAAAGTTCATACCTTCACTATAATCTATATGAAATTTCAATTACCCACTATATAAGTTCCATAAATAAGTACATTAACGATTTTCCAACTGAATTTGTACAATGTCAAAACTCAAATTTAAAATCAACTTCAAATCGCGATCAACCACACATAAAAGTTTAATTATAAGCAAATTGAAGTCTAAATTCAATCTCGATAGTATTATTTCAATCTCAATTGTTTAATTCAATTATCAGCCATATCAAAATTCAATCACTCACTAATCAAATTCCAAATTAAATTATAGCTTTCAGCGAAAATGTTCAATTATAAGCAGATTAAAGTTTAAATTAATCTCAATTGTATATTTTCAGTCTCAATGGTTCAAATTCAAGTATCACCCATGTCAAAATTCAATCACTCAAAAATCAAATTCCATATTGAACTACAGCTTTCAGCCGAATACAACAAGTAATAACAATAAAGATCATACCCTTATCATCACCCACTTCAATTCCAATCATCCATTTATAATATTTCAAAATATAATCAAATCAAAGTTAAAATTCAAAACCCAATCAACCAAATTCAACACATTAAGCCCATAAAAATTACACCTTTATCATTACCCACATCAAAATTCAATCACCCACAAAATCATAATTCATAGTTCAAATAATAACCAAATTAAACATTACAAATCACTCACAAAATCAAAATTCAAGTAATAACCAAATTGTAACAATACAAACCAACAAAATTCATCAACAAAAGGTAAAAATTTAAATTAAACTCATCAAAAATTATACCTTCCTTGTCTTGAATCTTAGTTTTGACATTGTCAATAGTATCGCTTGATTCAACTTCAAGGGTGATGGTTTTCCCAGTAAGAGTTTTCACAAAGATCTGCATCTTGAATGACCTTCCTACCCTCTCGTTTAGAATTCTCTCTTTACTTTTTTTCTTGCGAAATTATGAGAAGTGGAGGAAGGCGATAAATTGTTTCTGAGGAGTGAGTATGGGTTTTATAGTGCTTGGGTTCAAAACGATAAAATTAGGGTTTTTCCGTTTTACCGGGGCATAGGGTTTTGGAAAGCTCTTTTGAGGGTTAGTTTGGTAATTGCGCATACTCTGTATTTTGTGTATACAAGGAAAACGCACCGTTTCAGTAAAAAAAAAAAAAAAAAAAAAAAAAAAAAAAAAAAAAAAAGTAAATAACAGGTACTGCTCATTCATATGATCATCAAATTTTTTTTTTACAATCTACGAGGTTAAAATCCCGTGCAAATGTGCAATGTACAGTTGTTAAATATTTTTGACAATAATATCATAAAATATAAAATATATAAAAGATATTTAGAAATATTTCATTTGAGTATATATGGAATATGATTGTCAAACTGAAAGAAAATATATAAGGTATGAATAGTTTACTTAATGATTTTGCGCAAAAATAAAAAAAAAAAATAATAATAATAAAAAAAAAATCACGGGGTAATAACAAGTGTCAGGAAGAATTTGCTTTTACTATAGGTTAATAGATGATCATAAACACATACTTGGTAATACTTTAACACAATCTAATCGCCCCCAACCATGAACTACTCAGCCTGACCAAATGGTATAAAAATAAAACCACGCATTGAGAGACGGTACACTGAAGCATGCACAATGACATTATCTGATACCTGCGGAAATAATAAAAGTAGCCCTGTTTAGGGTCATAATAATTTACTAACAGAGGAATTACAACTTATAACTGTAAAGAAAAGAGTTGGCAGCAAATTTATATCGGAGTGCTGCATCCCGTAAATTATATTAATAGAGAAAATAGAAAATACAAAGGTACCATACTTGGTGTACAATACATAGCAAAGGAAAACCAAGTTTTAGGGGACTTCGTCATAGCAGCATGTGCCGAGTATTTTTTATTCGGCTTGAAGATGCCATGCTGGCTACGGGTTACAATGGTGGAAGTGCGTGGCTGGGGAGAGGTGTGCCGAGTGGGCTGAGATGGTTGGGCCGGCTGGTTTGTGGTGGACTGGGAAAGATGGTGGATAACATACGGAGACATCCCTTCATCAAGAAACTCATATGTATGGGAGTTAGGGGAATGCAAGTTAGCAAAAGGAAACACCGTCTCATCGAAAAGTACATGACGACAAATAATGATTTTATTCGACGATAAATCATAACGCTTGTAGCCTCTATGATTGGTAGGAAACCCCAAAAACACACAAGGAGTGGACCGTGGTTGCAACTTATTAATAGTTGTGGAAGGAAATAAGGGGTAGCACAAACAACCAAAAACCCAAAGATGAGAGTAAGAAGGTGTCCTTTGATATAGAATTTCAAGAGGATATTTGTTACCCAATAGTTTACTCGGAAGTGTATCAAGAAGATAAATAGCCATTTGTAGAGAGTGATGCCAAAATGAGGGTGGAAGAGAAGCATGAGCAAGAAGAGTTCGTGACATATTATTGATGGTCCAAATTTTTTGTTCGGCTTTCCCGTTTTGTGATGAAGTATGAGGACATGAAAGGCGAAAAGACATGCCATGAGTCTTACAAAAATCCCAAAAAGGACCATTATCAAACTCCCTACCATTATCACATTGCACATTTTTGATATTACGTTCAAATTGGGCAAGAATATGAGCTTTAAAAGCCAAAAATAAAAAAAAAAATTATGAAGCCAACCAGGTCAAGCTAGCAAGTGACAAGAAGAAAAATCTCCATTCTTTAGGGAATTGCCTAGCTTGTGGAAAATTTCATGACATTATATTCAAAGTCAAGGTCTTCTCTTTACCGCACCCTTCTACCAAGCTATAGTACTCCTTACATCTTAAAGGAAACAACGTATCAATCTAACTATCCAAATCTTTTTTTCTTGCTTAGCCTTGAAATTGCAATGATACTTGATTTACGGAGTACATCTTAAATAAACCCATTGCCAGCCATAGCATCCACAAGCTCGTACAGTCGTACTTGGTGTGCTGCAAATTATTTATGGACAATTGAGATGATACTAACAAGCAAATTAAAAAAACATGATACATGAAGATTATTATAATTAAGTAGGAAAAACCGCTATGCAATAATTGAACAAGAAGGTGTGTCTACGAACTGAGGCATGCACCAGGTGATAAGATTGAAGCGCCTTATATGCCTAGCTAGAAGAGGCGATTTCAAAGAGGCACATTGAGGTGCACGCCATTTAGCACTCTAAGTACGTGTGCCCTCAATTCAACGCGGAACCATCAACCATGCATAGGCATAGTATGACCCGTATTGCCTTAGTGCGCCTTCTTTCTAACATTATGCTATGCATAGATAACAGAAATTCAAACTTCTAGTAAATACACATACATACAAATTTGTTGTTGTAGAATTCCAATGCCTTTTCAACACACATCTCACTTTAATGGCGAGCAGCCTCCACGTCTATGTAATCTATAAATATAATTAAAGTAATAACCATTGACATCATCACTGTCCAAGTGTCAACTTCTCATAAAAATATTTCCCTCCAAAACTTTTGATAACATCATTTTTTTTTTCAACATAAATAAAGGTTTTGAATTAGTAGATTAATCGCATATTTTCTAAAATATTTGATGATTAAATTAACTAACTACACAATTTTCCATCCCGTGGATAAAAAAAAAGTGACTGGACTATTTAATTTTTTTGGAAACTTTTTTATCTGCTCCTGCTTCATAAATTTATAGTGATTTTATGTTTTTGGGTTTCCATTCTTTATTAGTTTTAAATTATATTTAAAATATGAAGTGTATAGTATATTATATGATTAGTATTCCGTATTTAACATCATATCTTTTGTTATAACTCAATTTATTTAATAAGAAGGCACACAATTTATTATGTTTTTCTTAAATACGTATTACATACAAATTAAATTAGAAAAAACTAAATAAAATTATTGTTTAAATCGTGCATTGTACGAGACTAACCTAGTTTTCTGATAAATTACTAGCTTGAACCACATGAAGGTACAAATTTTAAAATTGCAAGCAGGGGATCATATATATCCTTCCTCCTGAAAGAATACTGAATAGGTCAATGACTAAATCAATATGCCATGTAACTTAACGTACAACCTATTGGAATAATTTATTTTAGATTTGTATAAATCTTGGCTTGTAGTTTATCATACATTATTGGGTAGCTGGATGTCAAATGAGTAATCATACTCGGTTTGTACTCCTTTATGATATTTATCACCCTTAAATATCTACATCATGAGAAACTACATGTTCCATATGTATGTGATATGCCCAAACTTAGGCAAACAAATTGTTAAAAATTTATTTATGTATCAATGTATGTGTGATATATATTGAGAAAAATATATCCAAAATAACCACAACTACTTGAATGATTCCACTTGCATTTACCTGTCATGTATTTATTTATGAAACCAAATATCAAAATGTCGAGCCTAAACAATTGCCATATATCGACCACAAGTTCGAATATACTTGCAAATAATAGATGAATCAAAAGCCTAATGTTAGTTATTCTACCAAGGAAAAATCCAACTTTAGCATTCACCACCTTCATGTCCTCATGGGTTGTTCTTTGCAAAGAAAAAGGTTATATATGTGAAAGCCCACCATTCACAATTTCTACCATCTTAGTAAATTAATTTTAATCTTCTTAAAAAAAAAACAAAAATCAAAAACAATGGCTTCCCAAACTTTTGCCTCGATCAGATGGTTCTTTCCAAGGATCAACATGACTACAGTTATTATAAGTTTGTTTATAATTTTAAGGTATGTATTAGGCCAATTAGGGGATCTTTTAGTAATCTTACTTTTATTTTAATTTATTTAATTAGATGCATGACTTTAAAGTTAACTAGTACACTGTTTTCAAAGAAAAAAAAGTTAACTAGTACACGAAGTACGTTTATTTAAGCTTATTATGATCTTGATATATTAACCTTGACACAAAATATGATTTAGTAGAATACAAAGGTCAAGATCGATAGTGATGTGATCAAATGATTAATTTAAAAATCTTCAATCATCAAAGATTTATTTTTACTTATTTATGTGTTAACTTGGTAGCCGACTCCACTTATGGGGTTAAGGCCAGGCTTTGATTAATTGATTGATTGATTTAAGTGTTAACTTTTAGAATGAAAAGAGCTTCAATGGAGGAAATAGAAGTTCATAAGGGTTCAGCCGATGTTAACATATTTGTTTCTCAAGATGAGATGGCTACATCATTAAGCAAATACATTGGTGACTTGTCAGAGAAATTTGTAAAGGAGAAAGGTGTTTTTACTATTGTTTTATCCGGAGATTCTTATGCCAAAACTATAAGGTAACTAAATTATGATGATATGAATATTATTGAAAATAAATTAAAGCTTGTGATATATTTTTCTTCTCCACGAAAAATGTGTAGTTAAATAAGAATCACAATAGTTGGTCGAAAAAACTCTGTGTAAATTAAATAAAACATCAAAAATTAATTGTTGTAATAAAAAAAAAAAAAAAAAAGAATGGAAGAAATATACGTCTAATTCATATCTGAATCTGACCATATATTATTCAATTTGATTTGTTGGACACCAAAATTGAAGGAATATGATGGAGCCATCATCTTCAGTAGATTGGTCAAAATGGTATGTATTTTGGGTTGATGAAAGGGTTGTTCCCAAGGATAGCTCGGAAAGTAACTACAAGCTTGCTTACGATGAATTTCTTTCTAAGGTATAATGACTTGCATTTTATATTTATATTGTCCTTCGTTTTATTTTCCAACTTGTATTTTTCATAGACTATATCTTTGAACTCTCTCAGGTACCAATCCCTGACGATCATATAATTTCTATCAATGACAAACTTTTACCTGAGGCAGCCTCAGTTGAATATGAATCGCGTCTCAAACAACTAATGAAGAGCCATGTTATTGCAACATCAAATAATACAGGTTTCCCAAAATTCGACCTCATTCTATTAGGTTTAGGTTATAATGGACATATTGCTTCTCTTTTTCCAAACCATCCTCAACTAAAAGAGAACACAACATGTGTTACTTACATTATGGACTCCCCCAAACCACCACCACAAAGAATTACCATGACATTTCCGGTGATTAACAGTGCTTCAAATGTCGCTTTCGTGGTCACCGGAGAGGAAAAGGCGAGAGTTGTGTATGAAGTGTTTGATAGACACCAAAGTTTAGCAATGTTACCGGCTAAATTGGTTTCACCTAAAGGGGAATTGAAGTGGTTTTTAGACAAGGAAGCTGCATCGATGATTAATAATTAAAAAAATATGGTCGGTACAAGATTTGAACCCTTGACTTTAAGTTTTAAAAATATAGAGTTAGCCACTAAACTATTATCATATTACATATCATTTTATTAAAATTAAATACAAATAAAGATTTCGATCATGGAATTAAGGTGGTAACTCAGAGCATTGCCCGAACCTAAAAACTAGTGTTATATTACATACATTTATACTTGATAGTATGTAATTATTCATACTATCTTCGTTTCATTATGATTTTAATGTTTTTTCCAAAAAGCTTGTACTTTTTTTTCTTTCATTTGTACTTTATTTTATTATAAGTGATTATATATATATCAACCTACTTAGTCTATTTATTAATTGATCAAATCTCATGTTACACGTACTATAACGTACTGCTTAGTTTTTACACCCTTGGCCTCTTACCTATTCATACAAATCTAAATTATCTTTTGAACTTAATTCACAAGCAGATAGAATTTAGGGGTGTCTATTATTCTGAGTGAAATTGAAATTCAATCCAATTTAAATCAAATTATCAATTTGGATCAAATTGAATCGCATTGAAAATTTGGATTTTCGTATTGGATCGAATTTGGTACTGAAAAATCGAGATAAACGAAAAATGGGTGTATTTAAGGGTTTGCTCAGTTTAGCTTATTTTTATTTATTTCAAGCCTAATAAGTTTACATAAGTCTAATTAAGTATTTAGGTTTTCTTAAGTTCAAATTACAACTAAAAAGAAACGTCATACTACTAGATTTGATTCGACAACCTTTTGATTGTGAGATGACAAAACTTACCATTATACCAAATTTTGCTTAGTGTTGCTAATATTAAACGTAGAGGTGCAGTTATATTTGTAACTAGATGGAAGCCCGTGCGATGCACGTTTTTTCATATAAGATTTTTAATTATTTGATTTATTGTATTTAATAATTTCAGACAAAATTACGAAGTTTAATTTTTTATTTTTTTTTTTACTATAATTTATAATGAATTTATTAAATATAAATAAATTGTAAATATGATATTTTTTCCGTTATATAAAATCTTTAATGTGAAATGATAAATTTTTAATAATTTAAATCCTAAATCATTATTCATTGTTTTGCCATATCTTTTATTTCGATAGAATCACCAACCTCGTCCACAACCAACCTACTACATCAATGGATAAATTGAACCGTGAAATGTTAGCCAAACTGAAATTGATATAAATTAAATCTTTACATTTATATAAAATAAATCAATATATCTGCCAATAAATGAAAAATTGTTGCGATATAAATCAAATCTATGCATTGGAATTTTTTCATCATCTCCAAAAAAAAATCAAAGTCATCCACATATTAAGTATACAACATCTAATCGTATGTCCTTACATAAACAAATAATCGTTAAGTATCCTAAATAAATACAATGTAACTAATAATTACAAATATAAATTTAAACATAATATTTTAAAAATTACTCGGACATTGATAACCTAAAACTAACACAAGATTCGCTTGTTGGGGTTTTGTATTGATACGAAATTTTATTCGTGTCGTATGATTTGTTAGATTTGCATGTAAAAATTTAGTAAATAAAACATAAACATATAATCGTTGAGTATCCCAAATTAATACAATGTAAGTAATAATTAGAAATACTAATTTAAACATAGGATTTTAAAGATTAAGCTAAAAATTACCTGGCCATTGATGACTAAAAATTAACACAAAATTCAATTCGCTTGATGGGGTTTTTTATTGATACGAAATTTTGTTTGTGTCGTATGATGTATCACAAATTTTAATTTAATTATAATTAACGAACAATTTGTATTTCTTATCCTAAATACTATCAAAATTTATCTTATAATGATAGGTATCAAACTTTATTATAAGCGTTTATCATTTAATATTTCTTAGTATATTTTTTTTGATTTCTTATACTCGTAGTATTGAATTAATAAATTTATCTTTTCTTATATTTTTATATTTTTTTTTTTCATTAATATAATTTAATTCGTGGATTATAATCTACGTGACATTGAAATTTTAAATATATCAAATCTAATTCGTTACTTTTATCTAGGTGGCGACATAATTTTTTAATTCAAAAATAAAATACAAATTTTTCTTCTTATCGGTCGAAATAAGTATATTTCTTACGTGACGCTCCGAATGTTCTCCAAAAATGCCTTCTAGATTAGATTAGATTAGATTTTGTACAATAGTTTTTATTTTCAGGTATATTCATATATGTATATTGTTGCCACTTTGCCAAATCATCCCTTCGAAAACGCTCACCTTTTCAGCGGTTCAAGTGATGCAATCCGCTGTTCACCAAACCAGCTACTTGTCTATTCAGACCTTCAATCCGCTCATTCACAACAAATGGCATCTTCATTTCACACACTCTCCCACTTAACAACGAAAACAACCCCCATTAGATTCTCACAAATTAATCAATCTCCCCTGAAAAACCCACTAATTTATTTCCCTGTAAAATCTTCAAACTTTCCTCTCAGATTCCCAGCAATTTCAATCTCAAAAAGCTCCTTAAATTTCACACCAAAATCAGCTTTAATGGCGAAATCTGAAAAGGATTATTCCAATGTCGATGTTCTCGATTCTGAAGAACAAGTTGCCTTTGAATTAGCAAAGTTTTCTGCCAACTTATCAGATTATTTTGTCAATGAAAGAGGCGCTTTTACTGTTGTTGTTTCTGGGGGTTCTCTCATCAAATCTCTCAGGTAATTTTGACTTTTTTTTAAAAAAAAAAAAAATTAAATTTTTCTAATTTTTAATTTAATGGGTATTATCATTGTTGAAAATTAGGAAATTGGTAGAACCTCCATACGTGGATTCAATTGATTGGACGAAATGGCATGTGTTTTGGGTTGATGAGAGGGTTGTTCCAAAGGATCATCCTGATAGTAACTACAAGCTTGCCTATGATGGTTTCTTGTCTAAGGTATGTTTTTTTGTTTATTAATTTGAATTAGTATATATTCATCAATTATATGATTGCACTATTAAATTATAATGTGATTATACTTTTGATAATGAGATATTTGGTTTTGTTGTATTTGGGAGTTTTATGTGCTATTTTCCTGGTGTTATTGCTGTGATGAGAATGAATCAGGTATAATCCTTTGTTGTGGCTAAGGATTTTGTTGTAGGGTTGTAGAAAAGAGAAGTCGGGTTTTGGTTGATGTTGTAGAATGATGAAGCATGATTTTCTATGCAATGCACTTGCTTATTTACAGTACTAGATTTATCAATTGGTCTGAAGCTAAGTTAGTTTGAGGTTTACATTGTGTCATAGCACCCTTTTTTTCACTGACTGATAACTGATGTTGAGGATTCGACTGCTATATGAGTAATATGATGTCTCTTGTTGCTTTAAAGGACTCAACGTTGTAGTAGATTTTTGAAGTTGAATTTAAATATAATCCAAGAATACTGAAATTAGTGTTCAGTCATAGCCAAATATCGAGTATGTAGGTAGAGATTTCCTTCGAAATTTCTTTTAGAAGCTGTCAGAAACCATACTGTCACTTTTTTTTGGAAGGGTTATTTTGAAGAACAATCAATTGTAGGTTTGTTGTGTCCTTATTGGCTTATTGGCTTATTGACTTATTTATAATACAGAGTGCTTCATTTCATTATTGTTTTTCTTTCGAGACCCTACAATTCTTGGTCGCATACTATATTTTGATGGTAAAACTGCAAATAGAAATCGACTGGATTATCCTTTAATTTTTATGGGAGTTTTAGGCATACTGCATATCGGTGGGAGTCCTCCTCAATTATTATACCTTGGATAAAGTCTGCTCAATTGACAGTCTAAAGATATTGGCTTAGATAAGTTAAAAGTATTATGCTTGTTCAACATTAATCATTAGATGTAGTGTAAACTACTCGTAGAAAGGAGCTTTTTAAAAACTCTATAGTCTGATGAATGAATAGCTTTTTGTGGTCAATGCCAAATTATAACCAGCGTATTTTAACTCAGACAGGTCTGAAAGATTGTCTAACTCTAGCAAGTTCTCTTGTACCAGAAAAAGAGAGAAGACTTGCACAAAGGCTTGGATTTGGCTTGCCTTAACACTAATTGTATAAATCAAAGAGCTATAATTAGAGAACAGAATATAAAAAGGTTGCAGCTTGTACTTATTCCACTAATGAAAGTGCAACAATTAAGTTAGAGAATGCTGGAGTTTTTTTTTTTTGCTACCATCAGAATAAATTAAAAGATATATTCTTTTCTCGATAGCCTTGGCCAACAAACCAAGACTTGCTTGGTTAGTGCTTATAAACCTTGACCTGGTTGGAATATTGATTTGAAAGTTTCTGTAAAATACATGTGATGCAGTTAAATATGATAACACTCGTAGTACCTATTAGTAGAGGGAATTGCAAACTTACTATTTTCCTCAGGTAGATGACTGCATATTGGTGACAAGTATTGTTGACTTGGTGCTTATAATTTTTTGGCTCTATTGTCAGCCCATACTTTGAATTCTTTGTCTTTAGCAAAAATTTTTTGTATTAATTAGATTTATGTTCAGTTGCTCATTTGCAGATTTTGATTTTTTTTTTTTTTTAATCGATTATTGTGCTTGAGGGAAAAGTTCAACATCTTAAGCAAATTCAGATTGATGGTAGCTTGGCCTTGTGTGTAGCTTCCTTGTTATCTTTGATAGAAAGGTAACGTAAATGGATCTTGCTTGAGAATTAGGTATGATAAAGTCTGCAAAAGTATTACAATTAATCAAGCATTAGAGATGAAACTGAATCAACTCCTTTCAAAGCATGAGAAGAAGCTTAAAACCTCTCTAAGCCATTCACAAGACTAGCCAATAACTTTCATATAACAATTACAAGTCATGTACACACTGCGTGCACTCACTATTGTCTCACCCAGTCACTAATTCTCTCATTTCTGTGTTATCTATGAACAGAATCTTTAAAAAATAGCCACACCCATGTACACACAGAGCCTACCAATTTGTTGGTCCAGGGGCAGAGCAGAGGAAGATTTATGAAAGCCCCCCCCCCCCCCAAAAAAAAAAAAAAAAAAAAAAAAAAAAAAAACACGTATATGAACTTTGTAAAACTGATTACTCATACTTCCTCATATATATATTTTTTTTTAATTAATGGGCAGGAGCTTGTAAGAAATGCAAGTATACAGTCAATATAACAGTAAGTTTTCTTAGAGATAGAAACAATTCTTTGTTGGATGAGAGGCAGAGGAATTCTTATACTTTTTGCAGAGGATTTGGCATAAAACTATAATCATCTTAATAACTGATGGTTTAAATTTACTTCTAGTAGTTTGCTAGTCATGCTGGAAGAATCAGGAACATATACAGAACAGGAACAGGGTTTAGCTGTGATTGATAAAAGTGTATTTTCTTTCCTTGTGCTTTGTTGCTCATTGCCTTCTATTTTCCCAGGTTCCTATCCCCCCTGGTAATGTCTATGCTATTAATGACTCACTCTCAGCTGAAGGCGCAGCTGATGATTATGAAGCTGGTCTCAAACAACTGGTAAAGACAAACATATTAGCAACATCACCGACAAGTGGTTTTCCAAAATTTGATGTCATGCTCCTCGGTATGGGTCCTGATGGACATGTTGCTTCTTTGTTCCCGGGTCACCCTCTTCTTAAGGAGAGTCAGAGATGGGTTACCTCTATCAATGACTCCCCGAAACCACCACCAGAGAGAATCACTTTCACCTTCCCTGTAATCAATTCCTCGGCCAACATTGCCCTTGTAGTTTGCGGAAGTGGAAAAGCAGCAGTTGTGAAGACTGCACTGAGTGGAGACCAGAGCTCTGACATGCTGCCTGTTCAAATGGTGTCTCCTGAAGGAGAGCTGAAGTGGTTTTTGGACAAGGAAGCAGCTGCAATGTTGTAGCTCTCACCGTGTCTTTAGGTAAGTCAGAAGTATACCTACATAGATGAGACCTTGTATGTTGTATTTCTTTGTCAGAGTAAATTAATTTTGCAGAATAAAATGGTGGGTATGCAATGAGGCTTTGTATTTGGCGTAAATTTTCTTGACAATTCTATCTTGTATGCTTGTACTAGTACCTCTCCCTCTCATAAGTTTTTGATAATAATAGCATCAGTTAACATTCAATGAAGTCTCAATTATCAAATATGGAGTGACATCTATTAGCAAATCGGCAAACACAACTAATAACATATTAACATTGCGAATTTTGAATTATGTGTGAATTAGATAGCTTTTTGGATTGAACCAGATGCAATTATTATATATTTTACAGTTGATTTCGAATTAGTTCTCTCTCAAATCACTTCATATAATAATTTGTAAATGAGATAATAGCTAAATTCCCTGAAGTTGCTCAAGAATTAATCATGCAGCAAAAAATGAAACATGTGCTTAAGCCTTCCTAAAAAAAAGTTGGAAGAAGAAGTAGCTGATAAAGAATCAGAACCTAAAAAAGTCTTGTTTTCTTATGAAAAAAGAAATCTAAAACACCGCTTTTTATTGATTAAATTCACATGGGATTAGATTTTTGGATGATACTTCTCTTTGTCCCAAAGATTTTCAGATTTTATAGTTCCTGATTACTTCATTCTAAGGCAGCAAAACATTATCTGAAAGCTATTGTAAGCAATGACAATGCATTTACACAAGTGTGACTTTAGTTGCAAGTAAAGGAATACTTATCCATGCAAGAAAATGCTTATTTTTCAAGTACTCTTTTAGGTGATACTTATAGGTAAATTTCGATATACCAAAATTTAATAAAGTTTGAGACGTTCTTATCCAGGATCTATTTAATATAATTTCATTCTACCCAAAAAAAAAAAAAAAAAAAAAAAAAAAATACAGCGAGCTATGTATTGTATTATTGATTGATGAAAGAAAAAAATATTTGGATACCGCTAACTTTGAGTGTGATAATTAAAAGAATATATAACTCGATAATTTCGATATAGAGAAATCAAAGAAAATTTTGTGATAGGATATCACTATCGAGAAGGGTATTCTCCTTGCACTTTTTCCACTAGTTGTGCACAATGTTTTTGTACAAGATCATTATATTGTGCTCGTCTTAACTCAATATAACGAGATCTATCCTTTGATTATCCTAAAAATAATTGTAAATTTTCTTTATACTTTCCACATAAAATCTATATGTACGTGTATGATCTACTCTTCTATCACACATTCACACTCTTTACAAAATACAAGTATTCAATCATAAAATGATGGATTCTGTACAGTCGATATCAGCAAAAGAAAAAGCCAAAATATCTGAATTATTGTATGAGCAAATGTAATTAAAAGCGAGAAAGTTTGTTTAACATGCATGCCTAAATTCTTTACGACATTATATTTCCCTTTCACTTTTCAATTCTTATTAATTATTATGCCTTTCTTTGTTACTCATATTAAATACACATAATTATTATTTTTTGGACTTATTTGTTTGGCTTAACATTAATTGTTAAATAGGCATGCATAATTTGTAAAGTAAAACAATAATTACTGAATATGCCTTACATTATTGACCCTGAAAAATGTGAACTACGATTCTACGAGTACCGATTTATTAGCTATACCTGGGAGCACATTAAAAAAAATTATACTACGTAAATAAAAAAAGGATAATGTTATATGTAACATTGGGTTATATATAAACATTAAATACACTCTTGAAAATTGTATAAAATTAGAAATTCGTGACAAAAACACGCGTAAATCAGTGTAATTAGTGTTTATATTATTATGATTTCCTAAATTTATACTCATTTTTTCGTGTGTTTTTAATGCTTATATATAATTATATGTAGCCCTAAAAGCTATGTATAACATTTTACATAAAAAAAAAAAAAAAAAAACAAAACAAAAAATGAATTGAGTAATTGACACATCAAAATCACATTATTACAATAGCTTTTCCAGTTTTCCTTTCTTTTTTCTTGTAAAAGCAGGGTGAAAGGACCACTTCAACCGTTTTTTTTGAGTTTCTTTCTTTATCATGTGCATGGTATAACGTTAGAACACCTTGCTTAATTGAAAGTGATGATGCACATTGTTTGCTAATGCATATCCTTGGTTGTGAAAAGAGAAAATTTCTCCATCTACCCTTTCGTTACATAAGGTTTTACGCATTTATTGTAAATTTACTGATAAAAGAAGTACAAATTAAATCAAAAGGTTTCTTACAATTGTATCCTTATGTATTTTAAGAATTTACACAATCTAACCATTACATATTAAGAATATGAGAGTGAGGGGTAGCTCATTTGGTAAGAGCTTCCCTCCCAATTTCAGGTGATCCTGGGATCGATTCTCTTCCCCGCCTTAGTGGCTCATATGAACCAAAAAACATATTAAGAATATTGAATTAACAAATTTAAACTACACGCAATTCTTTGTTTATACTTACGAGGATAAACACTTACATGGAGACCTTTAATTAAGGTCCAATTTTCTTCCCCTTATTTTTACTGAATTAAAATTATTTTTGCTGAACTAAGATTATTTTTACTGAACTTATATGTAGTATTAATTTAACTGATCAACTAAAATTATTTTTCCTAAATAATTATTTTTAACTAATTTCCAATTATATTTATTTTTTAAAATTATTGATTTTTACCGATTAAGCACATATAGAAAACCGAATTTGCCAATATTTACCATCAAACAAAAATAACTTATAAGGACTTGGCAAGAGTTGACTCGCATACATAGTCATATATCGTGTGACAATACGCCAGCTGAATCCATGTTATATAATCAATCAAATCCACTATAATAGTATTTGAAATGAATGAAAAGACCTTGCATGTAGAACAGCTTACATATAAACAAATTAAAGAAACAATACTCGATCAATACCGTAATATATACAAACAATTTGGTCGGTTTATACATAAATCCAGCAAGACAAGCTAGCTAAAAAATAAACTACTACGTAATTAAGCATATGGTGTAAGAGAGTAGCAAGCATAACATTATCCTACGCCAACTAATTTAAAATTAAGATTAATATTTTCATTTTTCGAAAACAAGATTATTAATTATTCTAATTATTAATAACGTGTTTTCTATGCGACTGGCCACATCATGTGGTCGCTTGTTAAAAAACGGAATTATTCCTATAACACTGATAAATAATTAACCCTTATTATAGAGACAATGTAACCACTTATTGAGTAACCCTTACATAACAATGTACATAACCCCTACAACACTGACACGGTAACCCTATTTTACTAAATAAGTAACCCCTATAACTGTAATAGTGTAACCCCCATATTATTAAATAAGTAACCCATATAACTGTAATAGAGTAATTCATATAACACTAACACTGTATGGCCATTCACATTTAAAAGTTAATGTATTATTAATTAATTATTGATTATTAATTAATTGTTGCTAATTTAATAATTACTCTGTATTGACTATTAATTATTGATTACAGTTTTATACTGAGCAAAGCAAAGCACTTGTTAATAGGCGAGCAGGTGCCAATAGAGTAAAACAAATGTTAGTAAAATAGAGCAAAACAAAAAAAAATACAGCTAAATAGAACAAAGCCTTAGTCATCTTCCACTATCCTCTTTGATCTTCTTCAATGTAGGATAATTAGTTTCCATCTCTATAAGTGAATTTTTTAATTTTTTTTTTTTTTAATTTTTTTTTTTAATTGTGTTAATCAAAAGTGTATGTTTATATGCTACCATTGAGGGTATTTACTCAATTGCAACAAAAATAAATCAATTTTCCTTTTTTTTTTTAATAACATAATTGAAGTTTCACAATGGCTTATACCATCAATATCTTCTATTTTCTTAAGGAGATCTATGTATTAAAAAGCAATATTTTGAAAGTTTTGAGGCATGTCTAACAAGATCTTGCATAACTACACTTTTCATTACATAATTACATATAAATCACAATAGTTGGTGAGAAATAGCACACAAATAGTGTAAAATTTAAATGTGACAATTTAAAACAAAAGAGGGAGATATACAATTATAACTTTCATGATAAAGCATATCCCTTGAGATACAATATCAATATGTAGTATGTCCCAACTTTAATACTTTCTTATAATTTACAAGATTCGTTATGTTGAACTGTAATTTGTCTCTAAATGTCCAATTAAGTCATAAAACTAATGTGAAGTTTATAGCTTTAATACAGAAACCCGTTCAATTTGAACAAAGTAATCCTTAATACTGACCTGGTTGCGTGGATACAAGACCATACATATCACACATTACATGATGTAATTAGAGCAAGAAATCTATATATTTTATAAAAAAAAACAAAAAAAAAAAACATTCTACTCTCAGCGTTTCTCTTAAAAAAGTGATAACAACGTTTTCATCAAAGATATCAATTCAAATCTCAGTATGCCATAAAGTGCAGAAATCGACATAGATCAATGTTCTCCTGCAAACCAAAGATCGAAATTCAATTATGCTACGTGAACAAATTCATCTTCGCATGGGATTTCATCGGCTTAAAAGTGTATGTCAAGCTTATGTTTTATTCTTTATTAAATGTTATACACTGATACTTGACAGCATGCACTGATACTATCTCAATTTCATTATGAATTTTACGGTTTCCCACAAAATTTGCATTTTCTAAGTTTATGCATTTCTACTCTCTCGCTCTATTTTTTAAAATTATAGTATTTTTTTTTCCTTTCTTTTTACGTACAACGATTTTATACGAACACATACCAGCCCCACACAATTGATCAAGTCACACATTAGTCGTTGATAAATCAATCTCATGTTTTTACCACTTAGGCCTTGTCTCTTCACTTTATTCAAATAATATGAAGTATTTAGTAAAAACAATTTCATTTCAGTAAAAATAATCTAAGTTCAGCAACAATACGTTCAATTATTATTTTTTAAATTAATAAAAATAATTCAAGTTCACCAACAATAAGGCTAAGACATTATAGATAACATTAATATTACATAATTATCATTTATTACCCCACCCATCCTTTTATCACGAGTGGATGGAGTAATTAATTTTTAAACTAAATTCTTTTTTTTATTTTTGTTTTTGAAAGAAAATTTTAAACTAAATTCTTATGCATTAGAAATTGTCAAAAATAATTAAATAACGGGTAAATAGTTGGTATCCCAACTGCATCAAACCCGTAAAAAAAAAAAAAAAAATCAAAATTTGACAATAATACTCAAATGGTAGAATGCTAAGAATTCTAGAATGCCAAGAATCTTTCTAGTCCTCCTTTTGATCCTTTCTCATTTCCCATTTTCTCCCTCCTTGCATTCCCACTCTCTCTCCTCCACAGAAAAAGACAATTTTAAAATTAAGACATATTAAAAATTGCAGAAATTTGAGAGAAAGAAAAAAAAAACCCAATTTCATCATCTTCTTCATCAAAACTACTGTAAATTTCTTGCAGAAAATCCGCCATTTTTGGGCAATTTGAAAACTACCCTTTTTTGTTCTCTCTCCTCCAATGCTGAACAGCGTTCCATCTTCGAGCTTACACAGTAGCATCGGTGGACTATTCCTGTTCTTAAGCGGCGGCAATGGCGGCCAAAATGGCGGCGGCGCTGCTGTAGCTGTCGCTGTTACTGCCGTTGCTGGTCTCGCTGTATTTGCCGCCATTGCTTATACTCGTAGGTAAAATTTTACTCTAATAAAACCTCCCCCAATTTTTTTTTTGGTTTGTTTGTGTAATTTGATTACTATGAACCCTAGATTTAGTTGGTGATTGATGTTTAGGAAGATCCTCAGAAATTAATTTGTTTCTTTTTTTTTAGGGGGAGGGTTAGGGTTAGGTTAGAATTAGGGATTTTTTCTGGGTTTTGTATATTTATAGTAGATGAAAGCTCTTAGACGAAGCCATACTTGTTCTTCTTCTCCTTCTTCATCGTCGAAATCATCCCCATCATCATCTAATTCGAAAAAACATCATTATTCACCATCCTCATCATCATCGTCGTCGCCGTTGTCGTTGTCGTGGGTTCATTTGCGATCGGCTTTATTCGTTGTTGCTTCTTCCTCACCGGCATCTTCTTCTTCCCATCGGTGAGTTTCCCTACTCCCCTAAAAGCTTCCGTTTTCTCTCATGTGCTGAGGAACCTCACTATTCTGCTTAGTTTTAGTTTACCAGTTGTACTTTAGAATTCTAATATAGTTTTATCTTACTCATAATCATGGTATTTAAGTTGTGGTTATCTGGTGCCCTGATTTGATAATTATGAATTTACTATTTTAGGATGTTCGGAAAAGATTGCTACCCTTTTTAGATTAGTAATGATCTATGATAGTAAGGATTGTTAAAAGTTGTATTGAGTGGTAGGAAGAGATTGGGAATGATCCAACTATTACAAAATTACATCATGAAGCATTTCTAATTAGGGAGTTTGGAGCAATGTGACAATTGTTTCAGGTGGATGAGTGACTTTTTTGGGGATAACCATGTTTTGACTGGGTTGTAAATGAACTTGGGTATTCATTTTTATTTTATGGAGGTTTAGTGTGATTATGGAATTTATTTAAAATCGAATAGTGATATATCTTTGGTATTTAAGTGACAAATACTAGGGAATCACTAATTACTAAAGTTAGTTATGTGGTCAAACAATATGGGTGGGAGGTGATAACTTGAAAGGGAGTAAAATTAGTCAAGTGGTCTAACAATGTTGATGGGAGGGTATAACTTGGATGGGTGATTTAGCTCATAAGTGTGTCATGCAGTGTCCCAGGTAATACAATTTATTATTTAGAACTGGTAAGGATGTTTAGTCTTCTGTCTTAAATTGCTTAAATTAGTTCACTAAGAACTGGAAATGCAATAAAACATATTCCAATGCACATGTTCCACATTTTGATTATTTCTACACGGGGAAGAAAATCGCTGGGGAAAGGGGGGAAGATGTTGTAGTAGACTGTGTAAAATGGTAAGTGTAGTTTATATCATTGCCGTTTTATCGTTTGTTTTCGTTCTCCATCTTTCCTTTCATATGGAAAGATGCAGATATGTAATGGGCACCCATATTTATTTTATTATTCTGTGTAGCTGAGTTTAAAGAACAAACAGAAGCTAAATTAGGAAGTCAGTTTAATATGTGAAATTCCTGTGATTGATATGATGCTTGGAAGTTGGGAAACATTATGTGTATCTTGGGTTGTCAACATCATGGAGTTGGATTGTTATGCTGCATATGCATGTCTTAGCTGTGGATACTGCAGGCTTCATGTTTGTAATATTGGGCATATATATTTTTGAATGCTATACTGTGGTTTAATACATACTTTGTATATTTATTATTTTCTAAAGAAGTTTGTTCTATGTTTTCCCTTTGATTATTGAATATGTATATATTTTTTTTGCTAGTGGTCAACTTAAGTCACCATGGTCTCGCAAGAGAAGGAAACATCCCCTCACACCACAGCAATGGATAAATTCGTTTACACCTGATGGGAAACTTCAGGATGGTGGAATACAGCTTTTGAAAAAAGTTCGAAGTGGAGTAAGTGAATGTATAAATGGAAATATGCTTTTTATGCACTTCGTATGAGGTCAAAAATAAGAATTTTAATCTCCTTTTACTACCTATTAATCTAAAAGTCCCAAAATTATGATCTATTTCTCTAGGGTCTTGTCTTCATGGCAAAAAACCTATCTATTTCTATAGAATTAAAGGTGGCATATTAGACACCCTTTGGGTCAAATTACTGTATCTTCATTCTTAAATGGTAGGAACCTGGAAGTTTTATTCGGTTGTTTAGCCTGTAGTTTTTTTTTTTTTTTTTTTTTTTTTTTTTTTTTTTTTTACTATGTCTGTTTCCTTAAACTTTTTCTAGGGTTCATTTATGATTTGTCTCTTTTAGCCAATTGATACCCTCTTGTTGTCTTCTTAATCTTTAGTGATAGTCTCTTCATTTTTATTGACTGATTGAAAGAAACTAGTGGATAGTAAGGTGTCTTTTGGAATAGAATATTATTGCACTTCAAAAATTTAAACCCTTTATAGATGAAAGGTTGAAATGCCTTTTTGTCTCCAACTGTCATGTTTCTCAATGTTCTATAATTTCTTGATGCAGGGTATTGATCCCAGCATCAGAGCAGAGGTTTGGCCTTTCCTTCTTGGCGTGTAAGTGTAGAGGACATTTATATCTCCTCCATAGCTTGGTTGACATTTTTTTTTACGCATACTTGATGTCTACAGCTATGTGTTAGCTGTCCACCGAATTTGTGATTGAACAAAGGAACAAAGGAATTAATCATGGTTTCTTGGCATTTGTTTGTACAGCCTGGTTAAACTGTCTACTTCTACATCATTCTGCTGCAAAATCCTTTATACATTAATTGAACGATGTTATGTAATCATGAGACTTACCATGGTTCAGGCAGTCTAGTTGATGGAGTTGTACCTTTTTCGCTTGCTGTGATCCCTTGTTTTAAATATAATTCTCCTAATCTTGAATTGATAGGTCGTCACTGCCTGAATTGGGGTTTTGGATTGGTCATGTTTTTAAGTTAGCATATCTATTTTTGGTTAAGCACTTAGATGTATATGATACTTCTATTTGAAAGCCATCGAAAAGCCAACAAAAATGATGTGCATTTTTTTTTCCCTAAATATATGGCATTGAAGAGATACTTAGCTCATGTTAGAAGACTTAGAACAAGTCATAGATTGCATTTCTTGGTCTGCAAGTTTGTAGTAATAGCATATAAGAACTGCCTTTTGTCTTCTGTGTGTTTGATGGATTTTAAATTCTGGAGAAGACAATGGGATTAGTAGTCTAGCAATAGTTTAATGCATTGTCAGCTGCTTAGATTGTGGAAAGATGTTTTTATATGGCTTGGCTTAATGCGTAATTGCAACTGTTTAATTGTTGAAAAGTGGATCACTGCACTCTTTGAAAGGCAAAGGGAGTGGGAATAGCTTAAGGGTGGGACGTTAGGTTGTTATTTTGACTTCCATACTTTATAAGCAAAATTTAAGGGGTAGTGGTAAGAAGAGTGATATAGAAGAGACATACATATGTGGTCCAAATTTGAAGTTTTTTGGTCCACTGAGACTTATAATGTTTGTCCGAGGCGTAAACTTAACAGGTGAAAGTTCTAATCACCACTCTTTAAATTTTTTATCATTAGGTAAGTCTCGGATCTTTTTTTTGTAGAGTAGGGATTCTGAAGAGAATAGCAACTGAAATTTATGTTTTTTTTTTTTTTTTTCCACTTTGGTGATTTCTGTTTTGCGGTGTTATTTTCTAACTTATAGCTACTAAGACTTGGTGTCCCCTGCTCGTATTTCTTACTTTAATAGAAATGATTAGGTGGAAAAGTGCTGAAATTTTGTTCAGCTTGAAATTTCGAGACACTATCAACAAGACAGCTCCTTAACTAAATTTTGTTGCTTTTCGTTCTGCTGCACATTGTTTCCATTTAGCCTAGTCATCTTCTTTCAAATATATGTTGTTTGTGTACATCATCTTTTGCTTGTGGTGCTCTTTGGCCTCTGTAAGAGAAATTATGTTGCTGAGGTGTACTTTTAAATTGCAGCTCTTGTGCCCATGGCTTCATTTTTTGATGTATATTAGCAATTTCTTGTATGCTGAGCTTTGTATATATTGTTTTTGTACCCTATTGCCTTAAATTCACTAGATGTATAATCTAGATTTTCTCAGGCTTATATTATTGTTATGATGGCACTTAAGTTCATATTACTTTTTGGCATTTATATTATTTAACTGTGCCTGTTCTTATCAAATTGATGGATTTTTTTTTTTCTTTATTATTCATTTGTTCTGTTAAACAGCTATGATTTGAATAGCTCAAAAGAAGAAAGAGATCTGGTCAGAAATACAAACAGGTACTATAATGCCATTAGTATGAGCATCCTTCAAAAGATTCATTAGTCAGTTTACTTGAGTATTTAGTTTTGGTGTTTGTGTATCCAGAAAGGAGTATGAGAAACTCAGAAGACAGAGTAGACGACTACTAAAACAAACTGATGAGAATTTATTGAATAGCAATGGGAGTTGTTTGAGCTCCAATTCAGAGCCCAGTTCACCTGCCTCAGAAGATGTTGTTAGTGCTCGCGAATCCCTCTCCAGTGAGAAGGGAAGTTCTGATCTTGAGTTTTCAGAAAATCATTCCAGTTCAGTATTGGATAGGACTAGTAGCTCCCAACGGGTCACAAGTTCTAGTCCTTCTGTAATCTGCAGTGATTCATCTGACGTGGAGTCATCTGTAGATGAGCAATTTGATGAAGTTTCTTCTCCATTCGACCAAGAAAATGATGCTGATGCAGTTTCAAAGGGTGATCTTTCCCCTTCTAAGACAGATCCACAGTCTAATGTCTGTCGCACTGAAGATTTTGCTAGTTGGCAGCGCATTATTCGTCTTGATGCTGTGCGGGCCAATGCAGAGTGGAAGGATTATTCTCCTTCTCAGGCTGCAGTATCAGAAGACCGAGCACGTCGTTCTGCTGAAGCTGTAGGACTTAAAGATTATGACCACCTTGAGTCGTGCAGAATTTACCATGCTGCTCGGTTGGTAGCGATACTTGAAGCCTATGCTATCTATGACTCAGATATTGGTTACTGTCAAGGCATGAGTGATCTTCTTTCCCCAATAATCTCAGTGATAGAGGAGGACCATATGGCATTTTGGTGCTTTGTGGGTTTTATGAAGAAGGCTCGGCATAACTTTAGGCTTGATGAGGTGGGAATTCGTCGGCAACTTAATATTGTGGCCAAAATTATAAAACACAAGGACTCTCATTTATATAAACACTTGGTAAAGCTCCAGGCAGAGGATTGTTTCTTTGTGTACAGGATGGTGGTTGTCTTGTTTAGGAGGGAGCTGAATTTTGAGCAGACACTTTGCCTGTGGGAAGTGATGTGGGCTGATCAGGCTGCGCTCAGGGCTGGGGTTGGCAAGTCTGCATGGAGCAGAATAAGACAACGGGCTCCACCGACTGAGGACCTGCTGTTGTATGCTATTGCTGCTTCTGTGTTGCAGAGGAGAAAACAAATTGTAGAGAAGTACAGTAGCATGGATGAGATATTGCGGGAGTGTAATAACATGGCTGGACACCTTGATATCTGGAAACTCTTAGATGGTGCACATGATCTGGTAATGACTCTTCATGATAAAATTGGTTCAACCTTTTAAGTGATGGTTGCTTCATATCGGTCTTTCTTCCAATTTGGGCCTAATCTGTTGTTGTAGCACATGGTACAGGGCCGTGATTGAAAATGTATGAGCCTAAGGCGAATTTCTGTAAGGTCTCATCTTGTGTAATTTGGGTCTTTGATTTTCCCTATATTTCGAGGTGGAAAAAATAAATTGTTCAAATTGAGAAATTTTGCAATTTAACTAACGGCTCTGTTTGGTTTGAAGGAAAACATATTCGAAGGAAAATGATTATCCATGGAAAACATTTTCAGATAGGATAGAATTGCATATTAGCTTTCCTTTGTGTAAGGACGGATCAAGGGATTGTATGAGTGAAAGAGGAGGTTTGAAATGGGTAGGAAACTGGGGCTTTTATTGTAAAGGTAAAATATCTTCAAGGGCATGTTTGGATTGAAGGTGAGAACAAGGTGTAGCTTCTAATAATCTATCGTTCTTATCTCTTTTATACTAAAACTAGTATACTACCTTTTACCTTATTCCTTGTACAAACCTCATCCCATTAATGTTATCAATTCTACTCAACCTTATATTTAGTTTTACTTTTACGACCCGTTAAATGTTACCTACGATTTAATGTGTATTAATGTGTAGCTACGGAGCTACCTCAGAAACCACCTCCGAAGATACATACTACCTTTTCTACCTTTTCTTAATGCTGTAGAAAATTCACTCTTTTTAATTGTAAAACCTCATATAACTCTGCATTCACAACTCTTAACATTTAAAAAAAAAAAAAAACAAAGGGAGTAATATTTACTGAAAGTTAAATATTACAGTATATAATGATTTTAACGCATGAAATTGTGCTTTGGTATACATCAAAAGTCAAGTCAAAAGTAAAATTGCTGAAAAAGTTTGACATCATATGAGATCGATATAATATTACAATATATAGTTACCAACTTCTGGTAACAAACTAACAAATTTAGTGTAAACTTATTCATACTACATTTGATATACTAGTATCTCAGTAATGATCTTTGACTGATGTGTATCAGCTTACACCTAACTCATCATAAATTTCTGAATCTGTTGATCTTTAACACAACTTAGCGCACAAGAAATTCAGGATATTTTCAACACGCCGGAACACAACGTGTCTCCACCCCGGCATGAGCACTAAACTTCCAACCATTCCCCAAAACCCCGTAGCAAAACCGAGAAATATGACGACATAGAATTCCACCTCTTCATGGTCATCATCCTCCTCTTGAGCATGGTTTGATCCTTGTTGAACACCTTGTTTGATTTTGCATTTTTTCGGCAATGCATCTCCACATAAACCCGGATTGCCTGCATATATCAATGATGGGTCATCAAGAGTTTGGAGTTGGTTTCCTGTTGGGATTGTTCCGTGAAGCTTGTTGTACGACAAGTTTAAATGGCTCAAGAAATTCAACGCGGATATGCTTGGAGGAATTGTCCCTGAAAGCATATTGTTAGACAGGTCAAGGGACTCTAATGATTTCATATTACCAATCTTCTGAGGTATAATTCCTGTTAGATGATTGTTCGACAAGTTGAAGCCAACAAGTCCTGCTAAATTAGTAAGCTCCTCAGGGATTGAGCCTACTAAACCGTTGCACGAAAGGTCCAAGTTCACTACAAACTTAAGATTGGTGGTGTATTGTAGCTCTTTCCCTTTCAACACCTCCATGGTAGTTTGTTCAATGGGAAATGTAGGTGATGATGCACTTGAATTACGAGTTGTGGGAAGCAACACCATGCCGTTTAAGTTGCCAAAACATTGAGGAATGTCCCCGGTCAGATTGTTGCTTGCAAGGTCCAGGATTTGAAGCCAAGGAAGTGAGCAAAGTTGCACAGGAAGAACCCCAACAAGTTGATTTCCTCGTAACCTGAGAATCTGCAGATTCGGGTGGCTTTTTGCACTGAATTTTGGTATGTCCCCTGATAGCTTATTTTCACCAAGATCTAGAATTATCAATCCTCTAGATTTGTTGAAAGTCTTAGGAATTTTCCCTTCAAGTGAATTGTTGTTCAAATTCAAAAATAATAAGTTAGGAAGTAGTCCTATGGACTTGGGAATGAGCCCTGAAAGATTATTCGAGGACAAATTGATAGTATACACTTGTTCAGAACTCCAGCAGTCAGGTATTGTGCCTGATAGCATGTTTCTCTGAAGATCCAGCACATGCAGCATCTTCAAATGGCACAAAGAAGTTCGAACAAGGCCATTGTCGAGCACTTGACCTTGTGGGAGAGACCCCGAAAACAAGTTATATGAAAGGTCTCCATAAGAGAGCTCAAAGGATAAGTTTGTGATTGGACCTGTAAGATGATTGTGGGACAAATTTAGTCCAAAAAACTTCATGTTCCAAAACCATTCTGGCAAATCCCCTGAAATCCCTGTATTCGAAAGGTCCATGAAAATGAGCTGTTTTTGTGATTGAATCCATTGAGGAATCCGGCTTTCAATTCTACAGCAACTTAACTGAAGTTCATCGAGTTGAAACGGAGGCTTCCAGTCAGAAGTAAGATTCAAGATCAATGAGTTGAAGCGTAGGTCTAAACTCTTTAGACTAGAGAGGTTGGTGAGGTGAGTGTCTGACACTACGCCTTCCAAAAAATTCGATGAGAGGCTAATTCTCACTAGTGTCTTGTGCTGTCCAAGGACTTCCGGGATGGTTCCAGTCAAGAGATTGTTTGACAGTTGCAAAAGGGTAAGAGAATGCAACTGTCCTAGAAAAGATGGAACAATGCCATTCAAGGAATTGTGAGACAAGTCTAGCATTTGCAAGGATGAAAGTCCTTGAAGAGAAGTCGGTATGGTTCCGTTGAGACCATTCCTAGACAGACTTAACTCTTCCAAGTATGGCAATCTTCCAATTGATGTTGGAATCAATCCAACTAATTTATTACCTCCTAGATTCAAGCGTCTAAGATTTCTCAAGTACCCCAACCAATAAGGCAATTTGCCTGCGATCTTGTTATTGCTTAAATCCAACATCTCCAAATCATGTGTCGTGCATTTGGAGAAATTTTCCGGAGGGCTTTCGAGCTCTGCTACAAGATCATAATTCCATGACAAATCCAATCCTTTGAATTTGCATGGATTCCCCATGACTCTCATGATTGCCATGCCCTCTACGTGGCTAAACGAATTCCCCTTGAGGCTGAGAAATTCAAGTCCTCTGATATTGTTTAGCCAAAGAGGGATGTAGCCATTGAACATATTAAATGAGAGGTCAAGGGATTTCAAGGAGGTCATATTGACTGAAAATCGAGGGATAGGGCTATCTAACATGTTCATGGAAAGATCAAGGAATTGTATCCTAGAAAGCAAAGTTGAATTGTGGAAAGCATGACTTAAGTGAGCCTTACCTAGTCCACAGTCTTGAAGCCGCAACTTCACCAAAGAAGGAAGCCTCGCGAGAGTTGCCATAGCCTTGTTCGTTGGAGTAAGGTAGATGCCACTCAAGTCCAAAGACCGCAGGTTCACAAGTTGAGAAATCCAAACAAGATCACTATGGAAAGGCGGTCCATAGAGATTTGAGCTATCAAGATCAAGTATCTCTAGTCTTGAAAGATTGCCGAGTTGGGGAGGTATAACCCCCCAAAAAGATGCCATAGACAAGTTAAGGTACCTTAGATGTTTGAATGAGCCAATGAACTCTGGGATTTGGCTTCTTTGAAAGTCATTGCCGCTCAAATCCAAGTAGTTCAAGTGCCTCAATTCAAGCAAACAAGGGCCTAGCCTTTTGGCTTCTAACTGATATGGTGCCGCGTTCAAACTTAGTGGATTGTCGAAATTCCACACTGGGTTAGCCCGCAGATCAAGATGGTCTATGTAACCTGTAACATTGTTACAGATTACTCCTTTCCAACGACAGCAATCTTTGCCAGTCCATGAAGAAAGACGATTTGCAGGGTCGCTAAAACTCATCTTGAGCAAGGAAAGAGCCTCTAGTTCTGCATTATGGCAGCCCAAGACTAAGCTGATCAATTGCAGGAGAGTAAAAAGAAATAAACTGTAATTTTTCATTGTTTAAGTCAGGGAATATTTTGTTTTTTTAGGTTTGTTTCTGTTTTTTGGGGTGAATATTTCAGATTGTGTGCCATGTTATATATAAAGTGTGAAGGAGATCCTTTACCCAAAATTAAAGGAGGGTTTAAAGTTTTGAACAGTAAACGCTTGTTAAGTTGATAACAAAAATTGTGTAGTAGTAGTAGCATCAGCAGTACTAATCGCGAATAACATGTTAACTCCTCCTCTCACTGAAAGTGAAGTAAAAGATCAATTAATAACCGTAAAAGTGGTTAGTCTGGTTACGTTTCCAATTTCCCGTTGGAGCAGGCAACTGATCGATCTTCTTAGACAAAGTCCTTAATCTAACCTTACTGAAATTGTCATGTATGTATCGAAACAGTCTTCAAACACACGGCGATTCATTGTCATGAGGGCCTCCCGTAACTCTCAATAATGTAAACATTGGTTCTCTTCACAAATTGTCTGTTAGCTATAGTCATGGCTGATAATGTAGTAAATGAATTGAAGACGCTCTAATTTGATAGGTCCAATTACACTAAGCAGTATACGTAGTCATCGAGCTCTTGCAACTTGTGGGAGCATCAACATAGCAAGTTTGCTATTCAAGAGATCACCCTGTGTATGCTATCGAAACTTATTCAATCAGAGCAAGTTTGAGATTAGATCGATCATTTCACACCATTAATTTGTACAAAACTAACAAGCAGGGTCGGGGGCAAAGATATTATGTACTTCATAATGAATTGGCCCCCTTAAAAGTACTCCAATTCCCTGTCTTCTGATCTCAAGTTGTACGAGCAAATGTAAATTATAGAATGTACTCGTATTATTAACAAATGGAATATTTTTTTTACTACCTAGTTATAGGCAATTTTATGAAACACTTAGTTTTCTTAACTTAATGTAATTGAATGAAGTGGAGAAAGAATAGTTAGATTAGAGATAAAACTATACAAGTATAATTGATGATACGTTACAATATAATAACTAAAATGAAAATGATTAGACTCCGAGGGTATACATTACTCAATGAACGTGCTCTCCTTTAGTTGTAAAATAGAACGTACAACAGGTTGATGTGATAACTAGATGATAAATTGTATATATATGTTCAAGTTAGAGGTGGGTTCAAGTTTTGATGACATTTTTATGCGAGGAGGATGTTCTTTCTTCTCCATATTAAGTAACACTACCTTATTCCTTTTACCACCACCTCATCTCATTTCACCATTTCTATTTCTTAATTTGACTTTTATTATCCTTTAACCCAAACATGCCCTTAGGATAACAAATTTTTTTCTCCACCCTTAATAAAATTGTTTTCCACCAAAACAAACAATAGGTACGGTAAATGGGAAAACGACTTCTTCTGGAAAAATGTTAAACCTTTGTAACAAAAATCTACAATTGATCTACTTGGAGCTTGACAAATACACTTATACCCCCAAATTTAGTTTTTCAGCACCATATATGAAATTAAGAATGTATTTGAAGACTTGAACAAAGAACAACTGAAAGACTATAGATTCTAAAACATGTATGGTGTATTACAATAAATGTCACTGACTAGCTTTCGCAATGAGCACTTCATAAAATATACTATATCTTTCCAAATGATATTTATCACAACTTTGGAAAGGAGTAGTTGAACACACCAATTGTAAGAAATACTTATTGGTATTAACAAAAATTTAAGCTTACAAAGGTCGTGGTTCATTAAAATTAGAAAATATCGGCTAGTTTAGTTGGTAAAGCCTTATGAGAGAGGGTTATTTAAGGGGACTAAGACCTTTATATTTTGGTAACAAGAATATGTGGTAGAGCCACTGCAGAAAGAGAGAATTATATGCCATCAACTCTTTCAAACACAGTTGCACCATGGGGACAACCTTTTCGGAACATTACTGTAAAAGAGAAGCAAATAACCACCCATAAGGAAAATGCCCCCCCTCAAGTTTACAAGTCGCGATGTCAGTGGGGCGGGTCAATTAGGAGACCTGCCCCATCCCCAGCCGCCCCATTTCGTACCCGCCTCACTTTGTACCCGCCCCATCCCCACATCATATATCTTAAAAACAAAATTATATACTTTTATACTATTTTATAAAAAAAATTATTTAAAATAAAATTGTAAATATAATACTTTGTAATACACTTATATTATAAACAAAAAAAATGTGTGATATTAACAATAATTTTTTCTTTTTGCAATCTTTATTAATTATGAAGGATTGTGTATTTGGGAGGCGGGGATTAGGCAAGTCTTAGGTGGGGGTGGATATCCAAGTGGGGAGTGGAGCGGGGATGGTTTTAGAGTTGTACTTGTCGGGGCGAGGATGAGATGGGGATGAATTTTAGACCCGCCGCGGGGATGGGGACGAAAATTTTAGGTGGGGATGGAGATGGGAAGGCCAATATCCGCCCCGCCCCATTGACATCCTTATTTACAAGCCAACCACCTTGTCTATATTCCGCGCATATCAAACAATCTAATTCAATCGATCCTCGTCTATTTCCTAACAAATCGCAATGGTAGGAAATGTACAAAGTTTAAGATAAATATAGACTAAACTTGTAGGCTTCAATAAGATAATACAAGTGGACTAATTTTTTATAATATAAATTATAAAGTAGAGTTAATATGAAAGAGAAATTAAATAATTTAAAAAGTAGTATAAGTGAATTGGTATGAGAGATAAATGATAAAATGTTAGAGAAAGTAGGGTTATAATCAATAATAAAATAATAGTGGATTTTTATCAAATAAGAAAGTGTTACAACGAATATAAAAGAAAAGTGTTACAATTACTACGAAACAGAGGGAGTAAAAGGCCGGAATTGTGGGGAGGGAAAATTTTAAGAGATTTAGCGCCAAAGTGGTGATTGAGCGGGAACTTTTGCTGTAACTTTCAGCTAAATTATTTGGCGCCCATTATTTTTCATGAAAACATACTACCTCCATTTCTTATCACGTGCAATCGGAGGTAGTAATTAGTATTTGCAATTATTGGTAATCCTATTTGAAAAGTTATTTTCCAAACTAGGTATATTTAGGCAAGAGCGTTACGGTCGCCAATTTTCAAGCATCAATAGAGATAATGTATATTAAAAAGCATGACAACTTCAATTACAAATTTGCCTATATTTATCCTCCGCTCAAGTAATTGACAAGTTTCAATTGCTAATCTAACCTCCAAAAAAAATGTTTACTCTCCCTGTAAAGCTAATTCCCCCACCATCCAAAAAGTTATTAATTTTATTGAAGTATAAAGACTAACGGCATTTCAGAAGCGCCATTTTTGCATAGCCACATGACCTTTCTCATGGCATTTGATTAGTCAATATGGTATAGTGTTTTCAAGTGTCCAGATGGAATTGTTACTTGAGTTGATATTTTAACTTACGAGTAATCAGAAGAGATGTTTTGAGTTACTTACAGTAGACATTGGGTTTATTGTGGATTCCGTCTCACCAAGTATTGGGTGAGGCTTAGGCCCTGTTCTTTTAAGCTGCTCTGCTGAAATCTACTCTGCAGTGTTGGAAGCTCTGCTCTGCTGAAATCTGCTCTACTCTGCTAACCCCTACTCTACTCTGCTCTGCCCTGTCAGAAGCTCAAAAGAACACGGCCTTACTTTGTGTATATTTTTATGCAATTTCTTTTCTTTTATACTCTTCCTTCTTTTTCGTCGTGAATCTTCAATATTGTGAGATTTATTAAATAAATGAGCCATTTGAAGTGGATTACTTTTTTTTTTTCACTTTTTCTTTTTATAATTGTGCTTAATTTATAAAATGAAACATTATTTTTTGCTACATATATATATATATATATATATATATATATATATATATATCACAAATTCATAAAATGAGCAAATTTGTTCTAACTAATTTTCTTGTTTATTACATTCTATTTCAGCTACGTACAGACCATTAATAGACAAAAGTAATCTTCTGTACTACCCAAACTACAATAATTTATGCACAAATTAAACATATATAACTATGTAAACAAATAAAAAAAAATATGTTTAATGACATATTTTTCATTCCAATAAAGGAATTGGTTTAAATTAAGGCAAAAAGATAAAGGATAATTGGCAATCAAAAGGCGAAAAAGATCTTTTAATTATTTTCTTTTCTTTTTCTAATTTATTCCCTTTATCAAAATGCACTGAAAATATCAAACTATCTTTTGGTGATACAAACCAAAATGTTCTTCTACCTTTTCTTTTATAAACTTGATTAATTAGCTTGCTGTCTATAATTTTATTTCAAATTTTAACATAACTTTATTTAGACTAATCATCAATTGATGTATTTGATCAAGTTGGAGTAATGAATTTTTTTAAGTTAATGCCCACAACACGTGCATATAGGACTAATGTCTTAATTAATAGATGAAGAGAGACTAATCCCTAGTCACAAGATAGTTTTATAAAGGAGTTACCCTAATTGATTTGGGCAAAACTACTTTAGCTCAGTATGTATACAATGATGAAAGGGTGAAAAACTGTTTTGATTCCCAACTTTGGGTTTCTGCCACTCCACAATCTGGTGTTAGGGATTTTCTTGTCAAGATTATATCATTTGTTACCGGTGAGAATCCTGTAAACTGTGAGATGGCTCAGCTCCATCTTCAGTTTTCGCGCGCAATGCGTGAAATTGCTGGGAAAAGGTGTTTGCTGGTCCTCGATAATCTTATGGCATCGAGACACTTTACGAGAAGGATGGCTACAACTTAGAGCATTACTGCTACAAGTTGGGGCTCTTGAGTTCAGGGTTCTCACCACCACATGTAGTGAGGCAGTTGTCGATGTCATGGGCATTACTGACCCCTACATGCTTCGTGAAATAGCTGAAAATGATTCTTGGCTCCTCCTCCAGTATTTCGCTCTTACAAGAGGGCAAGAGCTGGAGCTGGGTGTTGAGGCGATAGGGAAGGAGATTGCAAAAATGTGTCCGAAAAATCCCCTTGGTATAAAGGCGGTAGGATGCCAGTTAGCAGAGAAATACACAATCGGGGATTGGCAGGCCCTTAAGGATAAATTAGCATCAAATTCAGCTAGCCTTCCTTATGGAAGACAGGGTTATGCAAACACTGAAACTTAGCTATGATGATTTGGACAATAATTTAAAGCGTTGTGCTGCTTATTGTTCCTTGTTCCCCAAGGGGGAAAGTTATCATACAGAAATTACGGTGCGTATATGGATGGCTTTGGGCTTTGTTGAGTTAGAAGATGCTGGAGAAGACCGTGTGCGCAGCTTGG